CTCAATGTGAAAGCCCGCAGGTACAGATACTGGTACACTGTCTATCTATCAATCCCCGTCTGTCTATCTATCAATCCCCCTGTCTATCTATCTATCAATCCCCCTGTCTATCTATCAATCCCCCTGTCTATCTATCCCCATCTATCTATCTATCTCCGTCTATCAATCCCCCTGTCTGTCTATCAATCCCCCGTCTGTCTATCCCCATCTATCTATCTATCTATCAATCCCCGTCTATCAATCCCCCTGTCTATCTACCTATCAATTCCCCTGTCTGTCTATCTATCAATCCCCCTGTCTGTCTATCTATCTATCAATTCCCCTGTCTGTCTATCTATCTATCAATTCCCGTCTGTCTGTCTATCTATCAATCAATCCCCCTGTCTGTCTGTCTATCTATCTCTCAATCCCCTTGTCTGTCTATCTATCTATCAATCCCCCTGTCTGTCTGTCTATCTATCTATCAATCCCCCTGTCTGTCTGTCTATCTATCTATCAATCCCCCTGTCTGTCTGTCTATCTATCTATCAATCCCCCTGTCTGTCTGTCTATCTATCTATCAATCTATCTGCCGTGGGACAGTGACAGCTCTTACCATCCTCTCCATATCTGTCATAGATGTCTTTCTTCTTGGCATCGCTCAGGACATCATACGCTTCGGCGATCTCTTTGAATTTATCTTCTGCTCCGGCTGATTTGTTTTTGTCGGGATGAAATCTTAAAGCTTGTTTTCTGTAGGCTTTCTTGATCTCCTCCTCAGAGGCGCCCTTCTCTATCCCCAGGACCCTGTAATAATCTTTACCCATCACAACACTCGACTGAAACCCCACTGTTGTTCAACTTTATGTTTCCATATGTCGATATCCTCCAAATATTGAACGATTTGACTAATTTTAAACGGTCCTCCTCCTGTCCTGTCGAACATGAAGCGCGCGGATGGAGTTTATCAAACTGTTTTTAAGTTATTTACCCAAATCCTCACTTATCGCACACAGCTACTGTCGCATCCCCGCAATATGCGATCATTTTCCCGAGACTCTAACTTTAATCAATGAACAACTTCAATATCACACAGCGTTCCCGGCAAAACACACTGTAGATGTAGTTATGAGTTGTGAGCGTCCGCAGAAAGTCCGAGAAAAATGACTTGCTCGGCGGCGCTCGGGACAGACGCTGCAGCTGTGACTGAACGAGCGCCTCCTGCGGCGAGGAGCGTGCACTGCATGCAGACTACGAGAGCCTAGAAATTGAATCGACGAACTGCTGGACTAGTAGTAGTTAGCTTGTTATATGAACACTACCTTACTACCAGTGTTGGGCAGTAACTAGTAACTTAGTTACTGTAGTAATATTACTTTTTGCAGTAACTAGTAGTATAACTAATTACTAATAAGATTTCAGTATTAATATTAGTTACCATCCATAAAACAGCTTAGTTACTTTTGATGCCTCAACCCCGCTGCTTTAAAATCCAACAATCAAATAATTCCTAGATTTATTTTCATAATTTTCACGACTCACACATGCATGTGATGTCCCCAGTGCAGCAGGCAAGCTTGTAATATGGAAAAGCTTACATTCAGCAGATAGAAATATTGCATTATATTGATTTTGTCAGAAAAAAAAAGAGATGATCTGAGCACTGTTGTGTAAGTACTTTACTCTGGCATTACATCCCACCCACATCCCTCTGATCAGCATGTGGTACATTATATTACTATAATTAACAATATTTTTGGAAAAATAAAGTTTCTTACAAACTTGATGAAATATAAATATAATCGTATATGGGTAACAGAGAAATTACAATTAGCTTCAAGCTACACATAACAATTAATGAGATTAATACAACACTTCTACTTGAATGTCACTATCAATCACTAGAATTTTATGTGGAAGATACACAGTTACAACTTCTGTGGGGCGTGAAGATAAAGTAATGCAACTAGTAGCAAAGACTATAGAATACCCAAGACGTGTCACTCGTATAGTTTTGAACGGGGAAAAATGTAACACTTAATAATAATTAAAAAACAATTCCAACACTTAATATGGCCGCTCAATCGCAGGAAGCCCCGCCTTCTGAATGAAAGAGCCAATCGCTAACCGGTAAAGCCAGCTGCCGTTAGAAGTCCGGTTGCGCTCAGGACTGCGCATGCGCACTGACTGATCTAGCCTGAAAATATAAGCTTTTTATAACGCTATTTAAGCAAAAGAAACAACATTTATGAGACAGTTGTTGTCAGATTTCATTGGTGATTTCAAATAGGAAATTTAATCGTAAGCTTAGTGAACCGTTTTGGAGAATTTGATGTTTCTCCATTCAAAGTGATAGGAGCTGCACTTGCATGCCCGTGAGGCGTTTCAAAGATGGCCGCCGAGTGACATGACTTGCCTTAAAGGGACTTTGCTAGTAGTGTAACTAATTACTGTTGCCAGAAAGTAATAAATAAAGTAACAATATTACTTTTGAAATTAGTAACTAGTAATGAGTAATATATTGTATTCTTTGAGTAACTAGCCCAACACTGCTTACTACTAACTGAATATTGTACCATATACATCGTATAGCGCCGATTATTTTAAAGGGTCATGAAACCCCCTGTTTCAGCACTGGTTAGTTCTCACCACAGTTTAATTCACTGTATTAAATTTTATAGCAATATGGATGAGATTGTGGCTGGCATACACTGTCAAATGCGACTTTATGGCGCTCAACGGCTCTGAACGGCTCTAGCCCAAGCTGTGATATAAACGAACGCTATTGGCTATTTTAAAAAGGGGTGGGGCTGCTTGATATGTCCCGCCCTGTCTTCCTGTTTCAGTTAAAATGACGCCAACGCAGAGTAACCCTGCATGTTTCTAAGCATTTCAGGGGACCTTTAAGAGGGGAGACAGACAGCACACACAGATATCACAGACTGAAACGTCTGTCATAGCAAATCAACACATGCTGTTGTGAATAATTAAGCGAAGCCTCTTCTCATAGGATAAGAACACGCAGTCTCATGAATAATTTAATATACACCGACGCGTCATCGATGTACTATTAGTCCATTGCCATGTCACAAATTGTGACGTCAACACGATGTAGATTTTAAACCCGGAAAATGAAAATGGTGCAAAAAAGCTTAAAATTAACACGTTTTCTCCAATAGTTTACACCTCTGCTAAAATCTCAGAAAAAGTAGTCTGGGGTTTCATGACTCTTTAAAAACAGCAAGTAAAACAGTAGGTTCATGCTAATGGTATCTCCTGCTAACAACATGACCTTATCATGACCTTTTTCGATTTTGTGTAATAACTAATTTTGGCAGTCAAGTCAAATAATAACTCAAAAAATGTTTTTCTTTCTCACACAGAAAATGGAAAGTTAATCACATTTCAGTATTTGTCCTATCACCTCATTATAGCATCCAGTTGTAATCTTGTAGGTAAAAATGGTTACTATGCATTTCTTATTTTGTTCAGCGCACATTTCATTGTGTGTTAGGATGCAATATCACGTGTTGTACGTATGCAGTTTTGTATGCTTATTTTGGCAAATATAAGATCATCTGGGAATGTAGCTACACAAAATCATATACTGTGCACAGTATCACATACAGTACTATATACTACAGAGATAGTAAGAGTGCTATGCTAGTATGCTATACTAAACATACTAAACATGGAACTGAGCAGTTGTTTACAGTAGTCTCGCAGTACAAAAAAGTGGAGTATACTGAATAGTAATACACCGACAGCCTACTTATGAGAACAGCACTCCAAGGTATTTAAAAAAAATACTAGGTTACTACACTCTAAAAAATGCTGGGTTAAATACAACCCAGTGCTGGGTAAAATAGGGACAAACCCAGCGGTTTGGTTACTACTCAGAAGGTTGGGTTAAACATTTAACCCAACCGCTGGGTCAAAACAGCCCAATTGCTGGGTTTGTCCCTATTTTACCCAGCACTGGGTTGTATTTAACCCAGCATTTTTGAGAGTGTTCCATAATTATATTTATATATATATACCAGGATATGATCTACCATTGAAGAGCTCACATGACAGATATACTTAGACCAGTGGTTCTAAATTCCAGTCCTCGCGTACCACCGTTCTGCATATTTTGAATGTCTCTCTTATTTAACACATCTGATTCAGATAACCAGCTTGTTTGAAGACAGCTCCATGCACGAACTGTGTTCCAATTGACATGGTCCCTACACAGTTTCATCACTCCCTACTCCCTGAGCATGGGGAATCCACTGAAGTTGACTTCACTTCGGAACAGTCATTCACGGATTTGCGCTATGCCACTGCCTGCAGTCTTCACACACATAATATACATCTGTAAATAAATACCCAAAATATAATCTGCTGTTCTGTAACAGGGTTATTGTAAAAAAAAGAAAAGAAAAAAAATGTATTTTATCATTTTAATATATTATATTTTTATTTAACTTTAAAATAACTGAAATAAAAATTAAAGAAAGCTAAAAAAAAGCTACTAAATATACCAGATAACTTAAGACACTTTGCCTATCACTATGTTTGTCTGATCTACTTACTGCTGACAGACACAAATGGCTTCTGTATGGCAACGACTTTCCTAAACCTAATGCGAGAGCCTCTAGGGACCTCAGAAGTGGCTTATTTATTGAATCCAAGCCTGGTGTGGCCACAGACAAACTCAAACAGATGCTTGCAAGGCAGATGTATTAATATTCCTCAGGCACACACTGCTCTGTCCCTGCTGTACAGATGCACGCTATCCTAACCCTAATTCAAATAGAGACAGAGTGTGGAGGTAAGGATCACGTCCAACTGGATTGGTCCGAGTCCCACAAGGTCACAGGGCTGGTATTCAGCAAAGCAGGCATATAAATTTAGCTTCATGAAAAGCCATGGATTATGTCTTGGGACTCTCAGATTTCGTCTTCAGGGGAGTGGTTTTGATGGCCACCCCTCAGGTGTTAAGAGGTGGGGGATATTTCAATCACACTGCACTCACTCACACCATCCTTCTCTGTTGCTTCTCCTCTCTGGAGACCCTCCGGCTGCACTGCATTCAACGGAGAGCTGGATTTTGGATTTATTATTAAGAACTGAGGCTTGAGGACTTAGGAGTGATGTGTGGGGTGTGAGAGAGACCTTTGAACTACGGACTAAACGCAGGATTCAGTGTGCAATAAATTGGAAGAAGTGTCATGGATGCATTAGCTTTAGAGGCAAAAGTGGCTAAGAGTGAAAGTGCTACTGCTCCAGCACCGGCACCCGCTAAACCCAGACCAAAACCCCCGAAAAAAACTAAACGGATTGTTTATTTTGAGGTGGAGATACTAGACATCAAAACCCGGGAAAAACTACTACTGCTGGATAAGGTATGTGCTTTTTAATGTGTTTCAATGTGTAACAAAGGACAGACCGTTACTTGCAAACTGTGTCCCTGCTGGAAAAAAAAAACAGCTGAAACCAGCCTAAGCTGTTTGGCTGGTTTTAACAGGTCATAGCTGGTTTGCAAGCTGGCTTTAGTGGGGTTTTGACCATTTCTTGGTCAAGGTGGTCAGGCTGGTCTTTGCTGGTCAGGACCAACCAGCTGAACAGCAGCTTCTGGAGACCAGCTAAAACCAGCTACTTCCAACTTAAACCAGCTAAGACCAGCCAAACAGCTTAAGCTGGTTCTAGCTGTTTTTTTTTCTTCATGACTTTCGTTGCTGTCTTTATTTAAAACAGTATATTTAATCACTATGTTTACACTTTCAGCCTGAACATAAAACAGATAAGTAAAGAAATCATCTGTAATCATCAGCTGTTATAGATGACAGATAGCTAACAGTAATGCGAGCACAACTAATGCACATGCTGTAACTTTGTAGTAATAAAGCGGCCACTATCAGGCGGGTTTTGCATTAGTCATGTTGCTTTTGGAATAGGAGTATCTCCTCCGAGCCTCCAGGAATTCTTATATGAGATCCATTACTTAGACATGCATGTCGAGAATAGAGTAAACCTGATTTGACTGCATGAGCAAAACTGCAAAGATTAACCCTATATATATATATATACATATATATATATACGTATATATATATATATATATATATATATATATATATAACCCTCCGGCTGCACTGCATTCAACGGAGAGCTGGATTTTGGATTTATTATTAATAACTGAGGCTTGAGGACTTAGGAGTGATGTGTGGGGTGTGAGAGAGACCTTTGAACTACGGACTAAACGCAGGATTCAGTGTGCAATAAATTGGAAGAAGTGTCATGGATGCATTAGCTTTAGAGGCAAAAGTGGCTAAGAGTGAAAGTGCTACTGCTCCAGCACCGGCACCCGCTAAACCCAGACCAAAACCCCCGAAAAAAACTAAACGGATTGTTTATTTTGAGGTGGAGATACTAGACATCAAAACCCGGGAAAAACTACTACTGCTGGATAAGGTATGTGCTTTTTAATGTGTTTCAATGTGTAACAAAGGACAGACCGTTACTTGCAAACTGTGTCCCTGCTGGAAAAAAAAACAGCTGAAACCAGCCTAAGCTGTTTGGCTGGTTTTAACAGGTCATAGCTGGTTTGCAAGCTGGCTTTAGTGGGGTTTTGACCATTTCTTGGTCAAGGTGGTCAGGCTGGTCTTTGCTGGTCAGGACCAACCAGCTGAACAGCAGCTTCTGGAGACCAGCTAAAACCAGCTACTTCCAACTTAAACCAGCTAAGACCAGCCAAACAGCTTAAGCTGGTTCTAGCTGTTTTTTTTTCTTCATGACTTTCGTTGCTGTCTTTATTTAAAACAGTATATTTAATCACTATGTTTACACTTTCAGCCTGAACATAAAACAGATAAGTAAAGAAATCATCTGTAATCATCAGCTGTTATAGATGACAGATAGCTAACAGTAATGCGAGCACAACTAATGCACATGCTGTAACTTTGTAGTAATAAAGCGGCCACTATCAGGCGGGTTTTGCATTAGTCATGTTGCTTTTGGAATAGGAGTATCTCCTCCGAGCCTCCAGGAATTCTTATATGAGATCCATTACTTAGACATGCATGTCGAGAATAGAGTAAACCTGATTTGACTGCATGAGCAAAACTGCAAAGATTAACCCTATATATATATATATACATATATATATATACGTATATATATATATATATATATATATATATATATATATGTATATGTGTGACCCTGGACTACAAAACCAGTCTTAAGTCGCACAGGTATATTTGTAGCAATAGCCAAAAATACATTGTATAGGTCAAAATTATTGATTTTTCTTTTATGCCAAAAATCATTAGGATATTAAAGGGGGCATAACACACACAGATTCACCCAATCTCATGTTAATCTTGAGTACCTATAGAGTAGTACTGCATCCTTCATATCTCCAAAAAGTCTTTAGTTTTGATCATTTATAAAAGAAAGATACAGCTTTACTATTCTCTCCGGAAAAAGCCGAGCTCCTGGAGGTGCGCTGTGGGCGGAGCTAAAGAGTGACGAGCACTCGGCACTTGCCAACAAAACAGACATTTGATGCCTTTCACTTACCGTCTGCAGTTCTGAATCATGACTGGGATCTTTTATAGCTGTGACCGCTCCATCTTTCAGTATCAAACGATGTGCAAATCCAGCGTCAACAAACACACTTGTGAAACTCCGTTGCTGCCCCGGAAAAACAAACTGTATCCACCGTTTACATAACGCTGGGTTCTTTAGGAAGCTGAACAAAGTTATCTTTCCCTTACAACCAAAAACACACTTCCTTGGATTGGAGACATTCTTCCCAAGCAAGTCGCTTGCAGCGCTGCCGCCGGATGAAGCGCGTTGATGGGTGCGATCTCGCTCTCGCTCTGGTCGAGTCTGGTCCGGGAGAAATGCCCATATAAGGAGTTCCACCCTTGTCTACGTCATGAAGAGCCATGATCGAAAAAAACTCTCCGAAACGTGTACGAACCCGGAAGTAAGATTTTTGGCACAGAACCTTAAGTAAAGATTATGTTCCATGAAGATATTTAGTAAATTTCCAACTGTAAATATATTAAAACTTAATTTTTGATTAGTAATATGCATTGCTAAGAACTTCATTTGGACAACTTTAAAGGCGATTTTCTCAATATTTAGATTTTTTTTGTAACCTCAGATTCCAGGTTTTCAAATAGTTGTATCTCGGCCAAATATTGGCCTATCCTAACAAACCATACATCAATATAATGCTTATTTATTCAGCTTTCAGATGATGTATGCATCTCAATTTCAAAAAATTGACCCTTATGACTGGTTTTGTGGTCCAGGGTCAGTATATTCCATATGTATATTGTGTATTTACATATTTATGTATTATAATTGTAAAACAGAATGCGGATATTGAGCAGCTGTCTATCTTTCTGCAGGTAGAGCCAACAGCCACTATTTTGGACATTAAGTCTATGTTTCACAAATCAAGTAAGTTCAGCTCGGTGCTAAATAAGCTATATGAAACCGCAAAGCCTTTCTTTAAATAGCTTTCTACAAGGAAGATGATAAGTTGATGACATAGAAATAATGGGTTTAGCAAAGTCTTACATGTCAGGCTTCAATTTTCACAGATCCACACTGGTATCCTGCCAGACAGTCTTTACGCCTAGACCCAAGTGAGTACATCTGCTTTATAATGCTTGTTAAAAACATATTTGACATACTTTAAACTTAGTAACAAATGAATAATTTGTTAATATTGTTTAATTATAACGTAACATTGAAACTAGCAACTTGCATTGTAGTATTTATTTATTTTACTATAAATGTTATTATTTTATTATTATATTTAAAATATATATTATATTACATAATATTGAAACTAGTGGCATGCATTGTAACATTTATTTATTTTATTTCAAAACATTTCACAAAAATGTTTGTTAGGTTTCAAATTTCAACATATTGTTCAAAAGGAATATAAAAAGTATCTGGACACTATGGTTGTCAAACATTAAAGAATCATGTTCATAGTTAATGAGATGAACTACATCTTCATACAGTTGATCTGAAATTGTAGCAAAAAAAAGGTTCAGACAAGTGAATTAAGTTGGTGTCCATATCCTTCTTTAAGCCACTATTTATGCGAAGAGAAAGTGAATGGTTGTGTTATATTGTTGATTTCAGAAGGAAAACCCTTAAGAGATGAGGAAATCCTTCAAGAGCTCCCTGTGGGAACCACCGCAACCTTCTACTTCAGAGACCTGGGAGCCCAGATTTCCTGGGGAACTGTGAGTGTTTTGCCCAACACACAAATAACAACTGAAACACGTGCAATCGTCACATATAGCAGGCCCCCATTGTCAAAAGATGCACAATTACTAGCATTTTACAATGGCATTGAAGATAGCTCATCAGAATTTAGCTTCAGTATTATAATCTTCGTCTAATCTTTCACTGGTATGTTATAGGGAGTTTGGTTCGGCTGATGTAAAAGTCAGGTCAGCGGCTGTACAGTGTGTGCACAGTCCTCTGGTTCAGTTTTCTCTCACCTCCCCACCACTCGATCCTCTTTCTCAGAACATGTAATCTCTCTGGCACCATTTCCCCACAGGTGTTGATCCCGTTCACCTTCTGCATGCGTAGCCCCCTTGCCCACTCCTGTCCTGACTCCCACGGGGCAGGGATGATGACAGCACATGGGAGGCATACTCTATAAAATCGTAAATTTAACGTTAAAGACTGTAAAATTGTTACAGCAAAAACTTGTTGGTTAACTGTAAGTTCCCTTACTATATAGCTACAGTCAAAATCTGTGATAAATCTAATGGGACGTTTCATGTTATTTTACAGTAAAATATTGTTAAATCTTTACTGTTTAGAAGTGAAAAAGAACAAGTCATCTAAAAAAACATAAACTGACATTCCCAGAATTCCCTGTGTGGCACATTTGATGGTTTTTCATTGAAATTAGTGTTTTTTGTCAGTTATGTACATTTAGGGTTTTATGTTACATCATATGCTGTTAAATTGATTGTTTGTTGCATTATTTTAGCGTCATGTTTGTTATCATGATGGTGTTTTGTGTGTTTGACACTGTGTGTGTCTTCTATATCTTGTGAAAAGCTGTTTGTGATGAGCTTTGATTCATCATGTGGCTTTTTCTTTAGGTGTTCTTTAGATGTTTTCTGTGTTTTTATGGTAGTTGTCAGTATATTATAAAAGTGGAAAACGGATTTGATTGATTTGGTGTATTTTACATTTAACACTTTTTTTCTCCTGTATTCAAATATACATTTTCTTACTGTAAATTTAAATTCAACTTGTAAAAATGTAAAATGTTGCTATTATTTATTTTTTTACAGGAAAGTTGTGGCAACCACAACTGCCATTTTTTACCGCAAATTTCACACACACATATAATTTTTTTGTTCCCCCAGTGTAGGGCCTTAATTGGAGTCAGAAAGAACTGTCAACATGAATCAAAATCAGTTGCGTTTCTTATTGTGCATAATTCATCAGTGCACAATATTTGAAACATTTGCCTTTGTAACACCCCATTTTCACCATCCAGTCAGTGGATAAAATCAGTCAGTCCTAATCTACATTTTTCTTCCTGAATATCTTTTTTCACACACAACACATTTCAGCAAATTTTGTATTCTCATTTGTACAGCAAAGAAAAAAATCCATGATAGCATTTCTATGACTTTACAAAATAGAACAAAAATATTGAGAGCTTGATTATGAAGGTCAGAAGAGAGAAAGATGTCAAATGTGCCATCAATATCTCAGTTATTGTATTAGAAAAACTCGTGCAGCAGTGTTAACTAGGTTTCTGTAGTATGGTGTTATTAATGTACATTACATAAAACAAAATCAAATATAAACAACTTTGCAAGATTTGCAATCTTAATAACTGTGGAAATGCATCTTCACAGTTTGTGAAAAGGGCCCATTCATCTGTGCATGATCTATGAAATAAAAAATGTTTGTCTTTGCCCAATTTTCACCATCCAGTCACTAGATAAAATCAAGTATTGATCTACATTTTTCTTCCTGAATATCCTGTTTCACATTCCAGAATTAAAATCTGTTTGTGAACATGTGTTTGCAGGTGTTCCTGATCGAGTGCATTGGACCACTTGTCATATATCTGCTGTTTTATTTTCGACTGCCTTTAATCTACGCTCCCAAGTACGAGTTCACCGACAGCAAGCATTTGGTTGTGCAGTAAGTATCATGAAGAACACTGCCATCAGATGTGATTTTCCTTTTAGTCTGTTGGATTCAGTGTCACCTAACAGCTGACTTACTGGCCAACCAAGATACTGGCCCAGAAGTGTATTTTGGGAATTATGTTGAAAAGCAAATTGTATTTACTTATCTGGTATTAAACTGAACTCTGTCTGCTCTTCACAGTATTGCCTGTGTGTGTCATTCCTTCCACTACATGAAGCGAATCGTGGAGACGTTGTTCGTCCATCGCTTATCCCACAGCACCATGCCACTGCGCAACATTTTTAAAGTGAGGACGCCTCACAAGAGTGTGTGTTTTTTAGTTTAATTTATATGTATATACATAGCGTTCACAAGTTTGGGGTTGATACAATTTTGTTTTTGAAAAAAGTCTTATACTCGCCTACAATTCATATTGTGTACACAACATTAATATTGTGAAACATTATTAAAATGTAAAAATTAACTTCTATTTTCTATTTGGATATTTTTTTTAATGTAATTTATTCCTGTGATGCAAAGCTGCATTTTCAGCATCATTACTCTAGTCTTCAGTGTCACATGATCCTTCAGAAATCATTCTGATATGCTGAAACTTTTGAACTGTAGTGTGTTTGATTTGACTTAAGTGAAACATATTTGAATACATTTACTTTTACAGACAGTTTACTTATTTAAATCCAGTGTGTGACTGATACATGTTAGGATTTGTTTTGCTTTTTTATCATTTCCAGTTATGAAATAAAAAAATCGTTTTTATGTGGCTTGGACCTTCGAGGTCATCTATACTCCTAAATGAGACCGATAACATTAACCATGGAGGAAATGTCACTTTATGAAGATTAGATCAGGCCTTCAATACAGTCAACAAAAATGCTGAATAAAAGGAATAATCACTGAATTTACAGTTATTTTATATATTGCAAACAGGAAGTCTGTAAATCACATGTGACTGTTTCTTCAACAGAACTGTTCCTATCACTGGTGCTTTGCTGCATGGATGGCTTATTACATCAATCACCCTCTTTACACACCGCCATGTATGTTATATTCATTTCATTCATTCCCTTTATTTAACCAGGTTAACATGGATGTTAAATGCACTGAACTGTCTGTTTCCGTGCAGATTATGGGGAGAAGCAGGTGAAGGCAGCGCTGGCAATCTTTCTAGTAAGCACTTTAACTGCACTGACTCCTCCTGTAATGTGTCTTCATAGTGTTTTTCACTTACCGATTTCTTATTTTTGCAGTTCTGTCAACTTGGCAGCTTCTCGATTCACATGGCTCTGAGTAATCTCAAACTACCTAGTAAGATCGATTAAATAAATCACAAATCTCAAGTCAGCCACTCTGGTTTTGTTCATGTAACGCATTAAATTGTTCTTTATGAAGGTTGCAAGATTAAGAAGATTCCTTATCCAACCAAGAATCCTTTTACATGGATATTTGCACTTGTTTCATGTCCAAATTACACATATGAGGTGAGACTCACGAGTGATTGCATTGTGAGTGATTCCATGTCTTTATAGAGTTTTGTGGTGATTATGTATTCTTGTAGGCCAACCCTTAAGTTGACATCTGTCTGGTTCTCTCTCTCAAAAAATAACAAAACCCACTGGGATTTTTTCCATTGGTTTTTGGATTAGGCTACTGCAGAGAATATTGATCATGCTTCTAACACATTTTGTTCATCATGATAATCCTCACAAATGAACACAGATTTTCTGAAATTTAAAGCTTAAATACAGTCAGCAGAAGTAAAAAAGCTAAACATAGGCTATAAATGAACTGCAGCATGGTCACATGACTTCAGCGTCATTACTATTAAATGAATAGTTCGCCTAAAAATTAACATTTGGTGAAAACGTACTCACCCTCAAGCCATCCAAGATGTAGATGAGTTTGTTTCTTCATCTGAACAGATTTGGAAAAATTTAGCATTACGTAACTTGCTCACCAATGGATCCTCTGCAGTGAATGGGTGCCATCAGAATGAGAGTCCACACAGCTGATAAAACAAAACAAAAATCAACAAGGATTAATTAAAAAAAAAAATTCCCTGAACGTTTGAGTTGTAATAGTTTGCAAGAGTGCGATTATAAACATAATGAGTCTGTAAGTGGACTAGAGAGTAGATTATTTTTTTACCTGCTTCGGTGTGATGACGTCTAAAGGTGCTGTATGTATTTTTTGACAGTACTTAAGCATAAAAATACTATGTTTGCAGACATTTAGGAAACATGGCAAGTTCACATACTTGTTTCTCTGAAAAACAACGCTAGCGCCAGTTGTTCTACTGTGAAATGTGCGTTCTGTGTCGGAATGTCTGTTTTTGTTTTGCTCTGTGTGATTCCGCACACTGCCAATTTACCCAATAGTATTTCGACATATGAAATATAAAATAGATAACATTAAATAAATATGTTTTTACCAGGTTAAATGTTGATTATTAGTAACTTAAACCCCTTTATCTACATTCACGCCATAATGTAATTACCGTAATTTCGAGATGACAGCACGTGACGTTCTACTCGGAGCTGTTCACGTCCTTGGACTCCGAATTAGAGGTCTACACGGAGAACCAGAGACCCGGTCTGTTTAACATTGTTTGTAATACCCGAGTCGATCGGTCTCGGAGAACACCCAGCCGTTATCAGTCAGTCAGTGCTAAAAATGTTTTGTAACTTTCAACTTGTAAAATTAGGATGAGAAAAGTGTGAGTCGGTAATTTGAAATAAGGTGGGGGGAAAAAAATTAAAACACGAGCGACGTCATCAGAAGCAGGGTGGGCAGAGTTAATGCACACGCACAGTGATAATGGATACCTTCATGAGTGATGCGAGTTATTATTGATTTTTTTTTTAAATAATATTATGAATGAACCGTCTTGTTGTTGTATCTAAAATTTCTGCTCAGACTTGGCTCAGAGAGCACAGAGATGATAGCAAATAAGTAAAGCTAACGTCAGCAGCCATGGCACTGGACGAGCAATCGTTATTATAATCTAAATGGGCAGTCTAAAGTATTATGCAAGTTGACTCGAGATACAAAAAATGCAAAACAGCAAAGTAGCATTTGTCATCCGTCACCGTGACAGCAAGTGGACTTTTGAAACTGGAATAATGAGTGGATTACACATTTCAATTGGCAAGAGAAGAATAACAAGGAGGATTGTGTGCGCATCACAGTCAGGTACAAGGGAGAAGGCTTCTTACATTAGGTAAGACAAAAAGTTGAATTTTCGCAACTTGTTTATCGACAAGCAATTTGCTGTGGAATAGGCCTATGTGCCGATCGGGTCCAGTCGGGTCTGTGTCTTCCCGGCCGGGTTGGGGTCCATCTTTCATATAATTGACGGTCCGCGTTGGTTCCGGGTAGTACATTTTTGACATTTCTCGGTTCTGCACGGGCCCGGGTCCAACTTTCAAAATAATAGACGGGTCCGGGTCAGTTCAGTGTAGCACATTAGTATGTAGTACGAATTTTTGGACCCGTGTAGACCTCTACTCCGAATTATGCTTTTCTATGGCAACACTATCATCGTCTAAACAGAGCCTGCGGTGGTCAGGTGGTACAGCGGTCACGTAGTACAAGTCGTAGCTCTCAGAAAACTCCAAGTTCTAATTACGAGTTCTACAAGGACCTGAACGCTTTTTACAAATTGGAATCTAGTAATTAAGGGAATTCCCTTTAACGCTTTTTCATTTGTGTTTGTAGTTCTGAACCGAATCCTTCGCCAAAGCGCAATGGATTGTGGGCAATATTAGCCATTACAGTGTGCACGGATCCACACTACAAAAATCTACCTGAAATAGTAGACCATCCGGGGAATTTTGGCATACTCTTTTCAACATAGTATGCTTTGGGACACACTTATTCTAGTATGAACATTGGGACAATTTTGAATTTGGACTGCAGTACCAATTTTAATCGCTAGCGGTCAATATTTACTGCGAAGGCAGCTTCTGTACTCCCATTTAGCCACTTGTTAGCAACTGTAATTTATTCAAGACAAAACTTTTTAAAAAATCACAAGGGGATTTAACTGATGTATTTTAGGTCATGGAATAAACCATGAAAATATCTTGAGCTTATGTGAACAGACCTCATTTCAGGCATTTCACACAAAAAAACATTGATTTTGGGACAGTGGAACCAGAAGAGCTAAAATTTCCAGATTTTGGCCTACAAAGTATGTCATCCCTGCAGCACTCTGTAGACCTCCTTGACAAGTATGTGTCCTGTGTGAACAAACAATGAAATGCTGACCCCTACTGGTCACATTGAGTAAATAACAGACACTAAAGCTGCCCTGTGGTTGCTGTACTTCTGTAGCTGGGATCTTGGCTCGGATTCACACTCATGACCCAGTGTGTCCCCGTGTTGTTCTTCACTGTGGTGGGATTCATACAGATGACCGTCTGGGCCAAAGGAAAGCATCGCAGCTACCTGAAGGAGTTCAAAGAGTATCCCACACTGCGCTCCCCTATCCTACCATTCATCCTGTAGCAGGAAAATACAACACTAAAAATAAGATCAACAGAACAAATATATGTCAGCGTTCTACAAGATATATATATATATAAAGCAAGTCTTAATATATATTAATGTATGAAATAACCATAGTAAATTATGATACTGTAATGCATTTGTCAAGTAAAGCCATTCTATTTTAATAATAATAATACATTAAAAAAAATTATATTTTATTGTTCATTTACATGAATACAAAAAAATTATTCACATTTAAAGGAAATAAAAATATATACAATTAGCAAGTACCACAACCTAGAAATAAAAAGTGATTCTTTTTTTTTGTCTGAGAGCTTCAGTCTTGGTGAGATGTGAATTAAAGGGCAATTCTGTTCCTTTGAGGTAAATATAACACACTCTATTTTTCTTTTCTTCGAAAATGACTAAAGCCAATTTGTACGTAGCAGATATTCTGACTGATGTATTTCCAAGTAATGCATCTAACATGTCAACGATGTTATGCTATTGTTCTTCTTAAGTGCATACACTTATGGTAAGCTTTTATGATATTGGCTTGGATGATATGATATTTTGCATAAGAAATTAAGTTTGGTATTCATTCTTGCTGAATAAAAGTATTAATTAAAAAAAAATCTTACTGACATCAAACTTTTAAACTGTAGTGTAATTTCTTTTTTGATTCACAGTCAACTATGCTTTCTATCTCACTATGAACGCCAATATGAGCGCTTCAGTCAAAGTAAATGTACTGGCTGTGCAGTGCTGGAATCAAAACATCAGTAACTCACTTCATATCTCTGCTTGGCAGGCAAAATGCATAACAGAAAAGATTGATGCAGATTCTGAAACTGGAATTTATTTCCTAACATTGCATGTCCATTTCAAGACTGCAGTAAAACATCGAACATTTAATTGGACAAGAACAAGGTTTATATAATATTGCGACACTATAAATCATATCTGACAAAAACAGAAGGAAAAAACACTGGTGAATGAAAAGCTCCACCGTAGAAAGAAAAAAAAACACTTCCACTAAGACGAATGGTCCCGTCCGCCCTGTGACGGATGGATTGAAGGACACCGACAGAACAGAAGAACAGACTGCAGGGCTGAATCATGCGGCATGTCCTCACACAGAAGAAGAGAAGATAAACTGAGGAGGATTGTGCACATCAAGTCTTAAAGAGTTAACGTTTCCCCTCATTTTGTGGCCAGCTCTCTGAGCCAGGAGAATTTCAGTCTGTTTTCGCTGAAAACACAAGCACTATGAGAAGAGACGGCTGTCGTCCTGAAAGTGGCTTCTCTGCAGCACCTTCACATGATTCTCATAGATTTTAAGTGCAGGGCCGAGTCTGATCGACAGACCAGTCAACACGTCACTGCGCTGCATCAGCAGTAAGGACTTCCCATCTATTTCCTGTTTAAAGTAAAGATATATCGGTATATATATATAGGTAAGGACACAAAAAAATTGATCAGAAGTGAGGGTAAAGACAAAAGATTTCGATTTCAAATAAATGCTGTTCTTTTGAACTTTCTATTCATCAAAGAATCCTGAAAAAAAAGTAGTGTCACTGTTTCCACAAAAATATAAAGCAGAACAACTGTTTTCATCATTGATAATAATTGCTTTAGCAGCAAATCAGCATATCAGCAATTATTTCTCAATCACTGGTGCACATTTTAGATTTTCTTAGCCAAATTATTCATATAATTATGGTCATATGATTTTAAGTAATGTCTATTGATAAAAGTAGTTAAGTATCACAAGGTTTGTTTGAAATCACCATATAACGCTTTTGTTTTTTTGGAGGACAAAAAAAAAGGGACCCTTTTTGTCAGACAAGTTCTGTTTCCAAAAACTACTCTAAAAACTCAGGAAGTTGGATTTCCTTATTTTTGGTGAAAATATGTCCAGAATAAAGTGATATTTTCATTATTATGTGTACAGATGTTTTACTTTTGAGGGGTGCTTGTAATTCCCATTATTGTATTCCTATTGTTGTTTTCCAATGGTGACTGTTATTGCAGAAATGCTTTTTAAAATTATTATTATTTAGTGCTGTCAAACGATTAATCGCATCCAAAATAAGTTTTTGTTTACATAATATTTGTGTGTATACTGTGTGTATTTATTATGTATATATAAATACAAACATATAAATATATGATATAAAATATAAGAATATGAATATATAAATGTATAAACATGTAAATATTTTCAATATATATACTGTATGTGCGTGTATTTATATATACATAATAAACATACACAGTACACATACATATATAATGTAAACAAAAACTTTTATTTTGGATGCGATTAATCGCTTGACAGCACTATTATTATTATTATTATTAAAGTGTTTCCGTACCTTGAATTCTCTCAGATTTTCCATTAATTTCAGACTCGTGAATTAGAATTTTTTTTTTAATCACTTATTGAAATGACATTTGAATATTTCAGAGCTGAGCATAACTAGAAAAATATATAGTCACTACATTCGTTTTATTAATTTCCATTAACTTTACCTGGCCTGGAAATAACTATTTAAAACGTCCTGGCAATTTTTTTTCCAGGGCCGTGGGAAGCCTAAAATCAGCATCAATTAAAGAAATGTCTTGCACATTATTTTATTTGCATGAAAATATGAAAATAACATCTTTAGCATTGTAAAATTAAGATTTCATTTTCAAAATCATTTTTTATGTGTTTTTATTTGGGCTTTGTGTTCAAATGAAAAAAAAAAAGACGTGAAATCGCTGTGCTACACCAATTCTTTGGGTGCATAGATCAATAAAAATCAGAATGACTTCAAATGAAAAAAGCAGGATCTGCACTCACTAGCATACTTCCTAATAATTTGTAGATTTTTTTTAAATTATACAAAAAGCACAAATGGATCAACAGACTTTGGGTTAAAATATGACAAGACAGGTTTGGTTAACTACAGTACTAACCTGTGTCCTGAAAGCCAGCGCCTGCTCGGGGAAACCCACAGACGTGAAGTAACTGGCCACATCGGCCACGCTCCAAAGCAAAGGGTCCTGCCCCATTTCTGTCTTTACCACATCACTGAGAGTGAACAAAACCAGATTAAACCCTCAAAGTTTAAGAGCAACTCGGACTAGACCTTTTTTCATATCACATCAACAATATATAATCCAGTGGTGTGAGTTTGACGGCATATTGCAAAGTGATTGATCAAATTAGTTATTCTGTTTGATGCCACAGAAATGACACTCTACAACTTTAAGTCTCAATTTTTTTGTGTTTATTACCAAAGATACAAAGACAAATTTGGCTTTTACTCACTTTCCATTATTCATCCCTCCACTGTTAACGGTTTCTTCCTCTGTTGTGCTTTTGGCGCACATTTCACCTGTGAAAGCACAGTTTCGAATACAAAATTAGCATCCAACGAGTTGACAGATACGGCGTGAAATTTAAAGAGCACAGGCAGAATCCTCACCCTCCTCAACAGGATCAGACCCAGCGTGAGGCCCTCCATCTGACATCACCTCCTCGTCCTGATGACAGACAGACACAATATGACACAGAGGAACATGACAGATGTGCTGGGATTGGAAGCGCAGGGTGGACATGCTTACCGGCGTGGCTGTGCAGTCTGACAGCAGCGGATCAGGGGTGAGCGCGCTCTCCTCCTCAGCCTGAAGAGTGGAGAGACAGATGGCCGCTGGCTGCTGCATGAGCGCCACAGATCCTGTGGGTCACAATGACAGATACTGCCAACTCAAATCTCTGTAGGCTGATGTCTTGCACATCTAGCGACTGTTTTTGCCGAAATCGTGGCTTCTTCTGATGGAGGTCTGTCATTATCAACAATTATTAAACTATCCAACTCCTTGACATGCATTGCAATGCCTGAATTTGGCAGAAAGTGAACGAAATAAGAACAGGAATTGTAACACACTGATGGATGCAATAACTTTACACTGTCGAATTGTATGTTTGTCTATTCAGGCTTCAGTGAGAAAAAGATGTATATTCAAGAAAGACAGATTGGTGTGCCTCTACTTGCTTATTTTATATAAATATATAAGTGTAGGAGAGCTCCAGGAAAAAATATTTGGTTACACAATCATCATGGAACATCTGCGACGACAGGGAAAAATAAGTTACGCTTCAAAGCTCTTTCACAAAAATAAATAAATAAGGAGGTCACTGGTAAAATATATTGCAATATTTAAAATTTTAATATACTGCAAAAACATCCATACTTTTAAATGGCCCTTGAGTTGATTCTTAAGTAAACAAAAAAAAAAGCAAATTCAACAATTTTGTGTTGCATTATTTGTGGCAGCTTGCATTTCTGTCTTATTTCTACAATTTTCACATTTAAAAAAAAAACTCAACCTGAGGAGGGAGTCAATATTAGCGAATCAAAATCCTTAATTCTGAGCCCAAATAAATTAATCGCTACGTGTTCAACTGTCCTGCCAGTCTGCCACTGCTTTGCAGTACATTTTCTAGTTCTCATAATGCTTGATCTCACCAATAGATTTACAAAAGTACATTATTTTACTAGATATGCATGTTTTTAATATTTCAAATGAATGCAATAATGCAAGCTGTAAAAGTTTGCAAAAACAATATTAGAAAATTAGGGCAGGACCACAACAGATAAATTGATCAATTCTGGAATAAATAAATAAAATAAAATAATAATAATAATCCCAATTTGCATATTATGTAATGATTATCAGTGGGTTTTCACTGCAAAAAGAAATTCAGTCATTTTGGAAAATCAAAGAAAGGTCGGTTAAATCCTGATGTGTCTGCTAAACAGCATAGTTACAATATCTACCACAGGGGAGAACGAAACTACACTAACAAGCCAAACCTTGACCCCTTGGATTCACCTGATCAGACTCCCTCTGATTCTCAAACAATTACATAAACTGAAAAAGTCCACCTGAGGCTGCCAGGACCACAGTAAAACCATTCAATGCTAACAGGTTAACTTGTAGATCGCTGGTTAAGTACAGTTTCAAAAGACCTCTTTAACTCATTTATTTTAATTACTATCTCGATTTAAATGCTGGTTTGTTTGGCATTTTTTATCTTGAGAAGTTACTTCAAAAAGATAACCAACAGGACTTGAGTACCTGTGTCCTGCTGGGCTGCTGGCTGTATGTGCTCAGGTAGGATGTAGGTGCTGTCGGCGTCCTGCCTCAGAGCATCATGGGTAGGAGAGTTCTTTGAGGACGTGGGTGAGGGAACAGGCTGACTGGCGTTACTGCTGGTGATGGGACTCATGCTGATGCCCGAGTCAGCGGTGCTCTGAGCGCACATGGCATCCAGACTGCTCTCATCCCCCTCCTCATCCATACTGCTGTCCATTCCTGCTGTCGTGGACATCTCGTCCTAAAAAAATCGCAGCATTATTATTTATCATCATCATTTTTAGACAGGTGCTTTGATCACTGCCAGCCCTGCATAAAAAAACCTGAGGAATCAACTAAATGCACCACACGTGTGCCATTTGAAACGGTGTTTCTACAGTTTTATGAGACTTCATGTATCACCGTTTCCTCAAAAATATTAATTAGCACAACTGTTTTCAACATTAATAAGCATAAAAATGTTTCTTGAGCATCAAATCAGCATATTAGAATGATTTCTGAAAGATCACGTGACTGGATGAGAAAATTATAATACATTTGTGATCAAAATAAATGCAGCCTTGGTGAGCATAAAATACTTTTTTCAAAAACATTTAAAAAAAAAATCTTACCCCAAACGTTTGAACGGTAGTGTATAAATAATTATACATTGCTTTTAAAAGAATACTGAACATTTCCCTAAATATAAGCTAGATTAAAACCTTGTTACTTTGATTTGGAGCGGCGTATTTCTAAAACTACAAGGTTTCAAGTCAAAAGTCCAAAATTGCAATCAATCATCTAATTTTAAATTTGTATCATTTTTGTGAATTTATCCTTTAAACTGACATTCAAGTCCAGTCTCAGTTTTTCACTATTAAATGACTGAACACAAGAAGAATGACTGGGTCAACTCTAGAATGAAGGCAGATTCTGAATGCTTGAATCTGAAATGTTGAACTGTGTTCTCGGGGCAAATGAGGTTTTACATAAATGTCTCAATTTTTCTTGGGCCAAGTTGTTGTGCGTTTTAAACGCTGCAGTTTTTCATTTGCTATGTTATCCCTTTTTGTTTCACAAACTGTTTTGTGTTTCCTAACTGTTTAACGGTTTATATTTTTCTGAAGTAATAAACTATGTAATGGGCAAGACTCCCATTATGTCAACTTAACCCATGTAGTGTGCCACTGCCAACATGCCCTGCTCCTGCTTCACTGAACTCAACTGTCCTGGGCTCTAATGCTGGAAATGTTCAACAGCCCAGCAATACTTTCACTAAAAAGCATGACGAATAAGAAAACATCTATTAGCACGCATACAGGGGTTTTAAACAGGACTTCATGATGATTAGCAATGCTAGAATTTAGCAGTATTTTACGTTTAAACGAACAGATATCGACTACCGCACTTAGTGTTTATGCTCAATCCGTCGCACTGCAAAATCGGATTATGGTCGCCTCGAGCTTCAGTATCTGGAGGCCGCGCGCGCAGTTTATTCAGACAGGAGTGAGCCAGAAACTCCTCTTCGCTTGGTTTCTTTCGCACGCTTTGAACGCTGGTTTCGGTTGGCACGATGGTGTCAGGAACGTTACTAACAGTAGGGAACACATGTACAGTATGAGGGACAATACGGAGAGACTTAGCTGAACTCGGACTCGCGGTTCATCAGCGCGCCCTGAGAGATAAGCGGGCGGGCTCATGAATATTAATTACGTGAGGAACGTCAGCGCCCTGAGAGTGAAGCGTGTTGAGTTCATGTATATTAATGAGGCACGCCACTGGCGAACTTCACGCAGCCTAGTTAATATTCATGAACCCGCCCCGCTTCGCTCCGAGGCGCGCTGCCTGCCTGTCTGAGACAAGCGCGTCCCAAAGCAAGCCCATGTTAAACGTGGCTAAAGCCGACATTTTCTCCACAAAAAAAAAAAAATCACATCTGAAAACGTACGTTCACCTTTGTTCACCCGCGATTAATAAGTACGGCGAGTTCACGAGCCCCACTAACGACTTAGTTCGCACTTCGCGCGCACGTATAAAGGATCATCTAGCAGCCCGTCTAATGACTTGCGCTTCGATGATCCTTATAAATTGTCGTATTGGCTCGGTCACGACGCGCACAAGCGCAGAAAAAAAACAGTCTCTCGCCAGTAAACGGTCGCTAACGCAATCGTCTCCAGTGTCGCTCTTTGTGCGAAATGCGTCAGTCGGCTGATCCGTGATGTTTTGGTGACTTTCCCCCGCTGTGCGAAAAGCGAGTTTGGATTCATTGCACAGGATTTCATCGCGAAAGTCGAGTTACCGGACTCATCCAGCGCACACAAAAACTCGCTCTGACAGATTTCGACCTCGCAGATAAAGCGCTTCCATTGTTGGCGATGTTCCGACGCTCGTGAGGGCTCGTGCCGCTCCCCGTCTGCGCGAGTGCACTTGCTTTCATGTTGCATTCGCCAGAACACTTCAACTAGTGATAAAAACACCTATACTTGACATTTCGCGTCTCGTTTTAGCCGCTTGCTTGGTGCACTTACTTCCATATCCTCCATGTGATCCTCATCCACGGGACCCAGAGCGCTGTCGCCGGTGCTCCAGTCCGCGAGAGAAGGCTGTTTCGCCGCACACTTGCTCTGCTCGGGTTTTCTCCTGCCTCGTAGCACCTTTGCCGCGTTGCGATAGGAAACCGAGCCTTTATAGTTGACTTTCAGCACCGTTTGCTCCTCTATCAGATTCTCTAGTTCTGACCGGGTTCGGTCCCAATCCGAGCCGTGTCGTCTTTTGACCATCCTGCAAATTCTGTCCAGGTCCGGTCGCGCTTTTCTCGACCTCAGGGAGTCTATGGAGCCCAGGATCCATTCACGGTACGGCTCAGACATTACTCCTAATGGGCTTCAAGCTTGATAGAGTGGATGAAGGGCGTCAGTGTTGCCTTCGACGTGACGCTCGCAGTCTTTCGAGCCGCGGCGCGAGTGCGCTGGAGAGAAAGAGGGAAAAACGGAAACATACTGTACGCGTGCGTTGATCATTTATTGAGCGCTTTTAAGGTGGAGTGCGCGAGATGCGCGGCCCGCCACTAGTAGGAGATTTAAGGTGGCGTCGCTCGGTTGCACGTTTCCGTGCCGCTTAAATGGCTATTTTGGAATACAATACTAGCATGCTGCATTCGTTTTTTAAGTAACACGTGAAGTCGTCCGCATTATACAATGGTAAACATTTCATTTACATTCCTTGTTTAATCCAGACACTTATTTTGGAATTAAAATGTTATAAAAAACGGTCATTTTTGCCAATCAAATGATTAGTCGAAAGGGAAATGCGCTGAGTGGAATATTAGCTACGTACTGCGTACTACATAGTATATACTGTGTACAGTATATACCATGTAGTATACAGTACATAGTTTGAAACACGAGGCGTTATTCAACAATACACACTTCAAACAGCAGTATGCTGAGCTCATTGTGCTTCGTTTAATCAGGCCAGAAAAAATATCAGAATAGTTTGTTAGTCTTCTTAAATAGCTTTTTTTAAAGGAACACTCCACTATTTTTTGAAAATAGGCTCATTTTCCAACTCCCCTGGAGTTAAACAGTTGAGTTTTACCGTTTTGCAATCCACTCAGCTGATCTCTGGGTCTGGCGGTGGCACTTTTAGCTGTAGCTTAGCATAGATCATTGAATCTGATTAGACCGTTAGCATTTCCTTATGTTTCCTAGCTGGGGACTATTTTCAGGCACTACGTAATATCATTGTGCCTGCTGCACCCATGGTACGGCCATGGAATGAGAGTATAGTTCTTAGCCATATCGGCCTAGAAAATCACAACTTTTCATTTTCCGTCGGTCTTAGTACACGATGTAACTACAGAAGAGTCAAGTTTTAAATAGGAAAAATATCGAAACTCTTTGCTCATTTTTGAGCGAGATGCTAACGGTCTAATCAGATTCAATGATCTATGCTAAGCTGCAGCTAAAAGTGCTACCGCCAGACCCGGAGATCGGCTGAATGGATTAGAAAAGAGTAAAACTCAACTGTTAAACTCCAGGGGAGTTGGAAAATGAGCCTATTTTCAAAAATAGTGGAGTGTTCCTTTAAGTTAAGCATCTTATATTGGCAGTCCAATCAAATTAGTGAAGAAAAAAAACAATTTGTGGCTTAAAGTACTTCTAGTTTATCGAGCGCTTTAAATTGTGGGATACAGTATTGTGCAATGTGCTTCACATTTTATTAAATGTAGTACGTCATCTCAAGGAGATTTAGAATAAATTTCATGCATCTCCAAAAGAACTTGTCCAGCTTGTGCAGGTCCAACCCGAAATTCATGATAAGTGATCCGTCATCATTGCTCGTGGATGCTCCGACAAACTTTTTATTTTTTAGATAAAACGTCATGTGACTAATGACTAGACTCACAGGAAAATTATGTCATGGCAACACAGAAACCTTCAAATACAAATCAGGCATTGGTTAAAAAGTATATATATATATCATGTCCTGTGACAGATATAAAATAAATAAAAATTCGGAACAATAACATTTAAGACGGCACCACATTCTTGTCATTTTAACATTTAAAACTTTATTGGAATGATACATGTTGCAAAATATTATTCTGTGTATTTATTTTTTTTTAACATACTCGATGCGTCCTACGGGTATCCGTCAACTTCTCCAGAAGGTAAAATAATTAAGACTGTTAAAGGCAGAGAATATACAGTATTGTTTCCCGAGAAGGTACAATAGACTACACCATCACCATACCCATGTCGGGAGGAAAGAGACTCCTGTTATTGAAAATACACTTAGAAAATATGCAAAAGTAAATCAAATGTTTTCTTCATGATTTTTTTTTTTAAAAAGCAAATACAAGAGTGTCGGAAACTGGATGTGTTCAAAGGCAAACTGTATCATGGACTGATGCACGCGCGCACAAAAAAAAAGATGACGGACAATGTGAATGAACAGATGAGTGGGAGACTGAAGGATGTGTGACACCCATGTATTTGAAAGGAAGGGACGGGACCCAGAGATAGAGGGACGACATATGAATACCGCCAAAAATGTCACATATTTCCATGCTCTGACAAAAAAAAAAAAGGTGTAATGAAAGATGCATTTGAGCCATAATTTCCCAAAAGTCACTGTTGCTTTTAACAGAACCCTTCCATAGTCCCTTCCACGTTCAAGCTCAAAGATGAGGGGGAAAAAAACTCATGCGAAAGCCAACCTGTACATTATAACTCAGTGCACCAGTTGAGGATAGTCTTCCGTTGCTTCTAGCGTCACAAGACCAGCGCAGTAATCAAAACGTACAGACGCATTCTTTAAACACTGATTGTTTTGTTTTCCAGCTATTCAAACCAAGCCATGGAGCCGTTTCTCCTGTTTTTACACCCATTTTATGACAAAGTCTCCAGAAATGGGGCGAGCAAATGTCCCAGCAATCGCTAGGCATGCAGGAAGAAGTGTGAGGGAGAGAAAATCTAAACCTACCATGTTTTGTGAAATATAAACTCCTGCCCTTTGCTCGTTTATGTTTCTAAAGCTACATCAGCACCCCAATGATCAAAAACGGACCCAATTTGGTCTGTTTTGGCTGTGAATCTGGCAGGCTACAGTGACATAACATTTCCTGAGAGGAAAATGAACAGTAATTTGATCTCATACTGCAATTTAAATGGCATCACAGCCCTTCAGTGTCCAATAGATACTTCCGATATTAAAAGAGTTGCTTGAAATACCAATTTTATCCTGGCACCAATCTGTAGTTTGCAAAATTAAGTTACATTACTCATCATAACAAGCGGAAATAACAAACCAAAACAAACAAACCATAAATCGATTTTGCATGATTTTGAAATCGGCACCTAACGAACAGCTGAAGGACTGAGCTTTAAGCGATGGTGTGCATCTCAGTTTTAAAGGAGAACCGTGTCAATTCTGTGCCACTAACAGCAGCAAAATCCCCAAAATAATGACTTTTATCAATTCTAATATATTATGTCCTTTCTGTTACTCAAACAGACTGCGGTTCAATTTGGTGCCACTATTTGCACAGAAGTTACACTTGACCTTTAAAATCGAATAAAACATTCACCAAATGTGCAACTTTAGAAGTATAACAAAATAAAATCTTTGCAACACACTACGCATTACTGCACACTTCTGGAAACTAAAAAACAACAACAACAAAAAACATGGGGACGTTTGCTTTTAGATTGTCTTGCATCCTACAAAGTTATAGAGCAAGATAAGCGAACAAATTTTGATCAGTTCACTGGACGATATTTCAACAGGCCGAGCTTCACTAACTGGTCAATATCTTAACAACACACAATAAAGTCTACATGAACAACAAGCTTATTTAAAAGCAGAAATGGAGATCGATTAGTGAAGCCTAAGAGAGTTAAACCATCACTAGCAGGAGACACGGTAGAAAAGAATAATAAAAAATACCCAACAACATCATCCACCAGGAACCCAGTGTAACCACAGAAACAGTGCTCTCCTTTAACGTTTTCCTTTAAAAGCATCTTTTTTTAAAAACAACCAGCTGCATTTCAAGCCTTTATGCTCACTTTCTATTCACTGTATTCCTTCACTTTTATGTTTTGTGTTGGTTTATCTCTGGACATTTATCTTGGAATCAAAGCCATCTGAGAAAACCTGTAAAATAATGGATTCGGAGCTTCAAGTATGCTTACATGCTACAGATCTGAAATATTAAGAAGTTTTACGGTCTTATCAGTGGCCACTTTCAACACTGGCTTAAAATACTCTAAATAATCTAGAGAATGACGAATGATGATCCAAATCAACAATATTTATACCAAGCGGCTGATTCTGCCTGATCCTAGAGCACTGTAGGAAATTAATATGCAATGACAAATTTGAAGGACGGTTGTGTGATGCTTGAAATCCAAATGAGAAATGGGTGACGTGTCAAACAAAAAGCCAGATCTCTTGAACGGTGTAAGTTGGATTGATTTGGTATTGGGTGCCAATAGGTGCACAGGAAGTAAACATGATGTGACAGGGTGGAGTACTACAGAGCAAGGACACCAAAAAAATGGGTTGGGGATAATTTTCTCTGGAGAAGCCAAAATTCAGTACCAGAAAGTAACCTCTATATCTCTGGAAAAGCAAAAGAAGTAGTCACAAATATCCGCATACCAGCCAGCCACAGAGAAGTGACCGAATCTCTGCCCAATGGACCCTGGCTACCAAACAAGAGGGAAAACATGAAAATGGACAAGTAACAAGTGACGAAGGATCTGAAAAGGCAACACTGCTGGCGTCTCTCTCAGGACTTCGTTCTTCTCCCTCCATCCGTGTGAGGGCTCTACGTTGTTGTTACCGGATAAGGCTCAGTCCAGTCCATCATCACCACCACCCTGGAAAACGATTCTTCTCTGTGTTGCCCCACATCTAATTTCTCTCCATCCCTCTCCTCCGCTGCTGCTTCTAGAATTCAGCAAACTCCTTTCCACATTTCTCTGTGAAAGAGACCCGGATTTCTTCTTCCTCGTAGTCGTCAAAGTTGCTGGTGTCCCCGGGGCCTTTGCACTTAGGTATGAAGGGGGCTTCCACCTGAAAACACAGACAAAATGGTCAGGTTATTGCATTGAATGAAATATTATGAAGACCATAACATGTACTGATGGTGACTTTACTAATAGAAGTGACTTGAAGCTAGGCCTGGGCGATAAAACGGTATCGATATTTATTGACGGTACACCTTATTCGATAACGATATAAATGTTTTTCGATATAGCACACGATATAAGCACGTACTATGAGTGACGCAGACAGCACGCACAAACACCAACACATGCTGAAATGAGTGCTGCGCCTGCCTGTGATGAGGAGATTGTGAATAAAAAAAATGTATATTAGTCGAATTTAAAATAAACATTTGCATTTAAATGTTAGGTGTGCATCAGGGAGCGTCATCAGTGGCGCCCGAGATGCGGTGATAATGTTGTAAGTGACGTTGTTGCATTTTAATATTTTGTTAGTCTAGCCCACGAGACGCGTTATTCATTCAAAATATTAGAGAAATATAGAAGCTCAATGCGGAGAAGATCTTGAATGGGTTAAAACCGAAACCAAGCCATTCACACAGAACGCATATTCAGTGCATTTTTTAGACGGACAAATATGACTGCTGCACTCGCGTCTCACAGAAGAGATGTATAGAAAGCCATGCAAAGTTAAAATAGTTTAAACTTTTAGAAAACACGTCACGAATTTGTGGAGGTTTATTCCTTTTCACTGCATCTCATACGTTTTTAAATGCAATCTGCATGATGGGCGTTTCAACTCTTTGGATTAAGCAATGCATAAATACATTATGCTGTTTTGTTCATAAGTGTTTATGCAATTTACAAAATTATATTTGATTTTTAGGAGTTAATTTAGACAATGCACGTTTCTATAGAGTTACGTCCTTGCGTTGACAATTTAAATGCGCTGCATTATTTTGCTCATTGCGCCCTCCTGTGGCCTTGGGAGACAATTAGACCTATACAATAAAGACCTATTTAATCTGCATATAAAACATTAGAAATTAGATACGTTTAATTTTTATTGTGTTTGATTCTTAAAACAAAAAATATTTGTTTGTCTCAAATTGTGTTAATTATAATTACAGTGGTTAAATAAAAAAAAAAAAAATTCTATTGCTTTGTGTTTTAAAAAAAGGTTATAAATAATGCCAATAATGATCGATACCGAATTATATGAAACATTATATCGTTGATACATTTTTTTTGCTATATCGCCCAGCCCTACATGAAGCTTGAGGAAATGGCGAGAACATTATAAGAACCCAGTGTGGTTGAGGTGAGATTACCTTCTTCTGGTAGATTGCGATCCAGTCGGTGGTTGCAAACCATTTGTGGCCTTTGATGTCGTTGACGCCGTTCTTGAGGTTACCGAAGCGCTTCGTCAGATCTACCTGCAGCAGGTTTCTCAGCAGGTCCTTCAGGTCAGAGCTAAAGTGTGAGGGGAAGCGAACCTAGAGAAAGATTAAGACACACGGTCAGTGTTTGAAATTCACAAGCACCTTTACAAACAGACGTGACTTCCAATACACCAGAAAGTCTTGTCCTAACTGACACAATGCTGTGACTGAATACTTAAATATAAACCATGCAAAAGACAGCATGTTGCACCCAAACCACAAAAACCAATGAGAGCAGCAGCAGCAGAAGACAGCAACTAAAACCTTTAGATGACTCACAGTTCAAATTTAAACTTAAACTTTCATTTTTAAAATTCATTTCGGCAAAGGATACATTCATGGCAAAAACAAAACAAAACCAATTTAAATATGCAATTAGATGTCTTAAAACATCACAATAACAACTACATACATTTTTTCAGTTTAATGCTGGACGAAAATTGTGAATTTGTCCCCTGGTAAAACCTTTTCAAAAATATGAGTTAAAATATTGCCTAGTAAAGCAAAACAGTCAAATAAAATAAAATCAATAAAATAAAAATAAAAAGTGTCTGCTAAATGAATAAATGTAAATGTAAAATATGCTTGGTTATCTAACACGCACACAAAAAGAAAACATAAAAAGCCCATATGTCTGACTCCAGATCAGCATTTTTTAGTATTATTTATATACTCATAGTTTTTATAAAAAATTTAGAATTAACATTTTTTATATTTTCAGTTGAATTTTTAGTCATTTTTGCTCATTTCAATTTTTACTAATTAATATTTGGTTTTGTTCTTTTTGACAAAAAAAAGCCTCTCTTTGTAGGTTTATTTTTTTGTTTCCATTTGTTTTTGTTTTTATTTATTTCCAGTTAGTAATTTTAATTTTTTAGTTAGTAAATTTTCCAGTTACACAATTTCTGGCAACATTGTCGACTTGACTGCACAGACACTATTGGAAGAGAACTGAACGGAGCTGGACGACGACATCCCTCAACGGTTCTGCTATCGGTACTGGAGAAATTAATAAAACACACATACATTTATTATTGCTATATATACATTATCTTGCAAATTTTATCTCACCAGAGTCGCCAGCTGTTTTTCTCCTCGCCCACGCGGAGGAGCTTCAGCACGCGCAGCATGAAAGCCCCATTTAATTATGATAGAAGAGAGAACTAAACATTCAAACATCTGCTTACACTTTATGCTTGTGGCCGTTTTATTAAGCTAATTTCATTTTTTTATTTCGATTTTGGCTTCTAAGGATTATACAAAAGAAGATGAGGTAAAGCTATTAAAAACTAGCTGCGTTTCGTATCGCGCAACTTCTTTCCCTTCACAGCGGTGCGCATTCGTTCCTCCCTAAAACCCAAACTTAACGTCAGAATCAGCTCAATCGGTGATTGTTGTAAGATGCCGTCTTTACTGTTGCTAAATTGCGGGACATGTTTGATAATAAAATGCTGAAAGCACAATCCGCACAAGAGACGCTATTCCTCAGGCTGAAATGTGTGCAGTGCTCCAAAACGGACAAACAAATTACACTTTGAGCTTCGGGCGCATGTCCAAACGATCAAATACACACAAAATATGTCCAAATGGCCGGCTTGGAGAGTATTTACTTAAACACATTTTATGTCTTAATTAAGTGGAGGAGAACAGTTGGGAGAAAATCCGATGTGTGTCAATATATTGTCTTAAAGTGACAGACTGCCGCTTGGGCCATCAAAATGCAAATCTGCTCTTAATCTTAATAACGTTATAGCTTTAATAAGCATTAATCTATCAATACATACACTGAAAACTATGCAGTGTAGAATATAAAACAATGTTAATTCATCTCTTAATTTGTCATATATATATATATATATATATATATATAAAAAACAAAAAGTACCAATAAGAATACCGTTAAAGTTCCGAATTGATAAGCAGTATCGATAAGCGTTGTAATACCGTTAAAACTTTAACGATACCCATCCCTATCCGTAACTTCACGAAATTATACAAAGTGCAGTCTCCACACTGGTGTTGACTGACAGCCACACATTAGATTCATCCGCGCTGGAGCCGTGCCGGTGCACAACCCACGCAAGGAAGATAATTCCGCAAATAGCATCAATTGCAGGTTTTCAAACAGAGACGGCGACAAAGAGGTCAAACTTATGGACTGCAGCTTTAAATAGTTATTTGTGACCCTGGAGCACAAAACCAGTCATAAGGGTCAATTTTTTTGAAATTGAAATTTATACATCATCTGAAAGCTGAATAAATAAGCTTTGTTAGGATAGGACAATATTTGACCGAGATACAACTATTTGAAAATCTGGAATCTGAGGGTGCAAAAAAATCTAAATATTGAGAAAATCGCCTTTAAAGTTGTCCAAATGAAGTTCTTAGCAATGCATATTACTAATCAAAATTTACGTTTTGATATATGTAAGGTAAGAAATTTACAAAATATCTTCATGGAACATGATCTTTACTTAAATCCTAACGATTTTTGGCATAAAAGAAAAATCTATAATTTTAACCCATACAATGTATTTTTGGCTATTGCTACAAATATACCCCAGCGACTTAAGACTGGTTTTGTGCTCCAGGGTCACGTTTAATAAATTAGTTATTTCATTTTTATTTAGCTTTATTTTTATTTCAGTTTTAGTAAACTTATTTTAGACAGTTGCCTAAGCAAGTGTTTCATCTAATATTTCTATTTTAGCTTTATTTCAGCTTTATTTCAAGTAACGAAAGAACACCAGTTTAGATAAATAACAGCACCACTGACACACGTGTGTGGTGAAGAGTGGCCACTGAACTATATGACATCCAGCGCCAAATCAATCCACTGCAGTGATATTCTGTCGCAGCACTCACCTTCCCAGAAACAATCTTCTCGTAGATCTGGATGGGCTGGTCGGCAAAAAACGGAGGGTAACCGGCAGCCATTTCATAGATCAGCACACCCAGAGCCCACCAGTCCACTGCTTTATTATAACCCTGAGAGACACAGAGAGCTGGAGTTATGCTGAAATGGCTTAAACTGCAGTTAAAACAAGAAAAGCAGCTTTGGTACTCACTTTACTGAGGATGATTTCTGGCGCCAGGTACTCAGGTGTGCCACACAGTGTCCAGGTCCTGCCCTTTACACGTTTAGCAAATCCAAAATCTGTTACCTGAGAAAACAGCAAGAATGAGGATAAATATTGCATGTATACATCTGTGAAAAGCATGTGAGTGAGCCTGTATGGCCTTAAACAGTGACTCAAACACAAGGCAGGTATATTCTTTGCAGTCATGTGACATTCTTGGAGCTGCTACCATTACATTACATTAAGTCATCTGATCTTAAACCCTGCGTGTTTACCTGTATGTAGCCCTGCTGGTCTATGAGCAGGTTTTCAGGCTTCAGATCTCGGTAGATAAGATCAAGTGAGTGAAGGTATTCAAAGGTCAGAACTATCTGGGCGGCGTAGAATCGGGCATGAGGCTCACTGCACCAGACAGAGACAGACAGACAGACACAACGTAAATGTACAGAGGTCATCGGACCTGCACGCACGCTCATTATACAAGAATGAGATGATTAAATAGTTTTAGATGAAGCCTGTCACGTATCAGGACACTGCTGCCACTGTTTGACACGTCATGTCAACTACCCTAAAATATCATCATTAACTGAACTGAAAATAAACAACCTAAACAATGTGAATCTGCATTTTTTTTTCCCATTCTGAAAAAATTCTGGCAATCAAGTCTTTTAACTATTTGCGTTTTCTGGTCAAGAACCATGCACTTAGACAGAATTGATCTTTTACATGTACTCCTTTCATCAGTGGATGTGTGATGATAATAAAAGAAATAATACATATTTGGCAATATGCAAAAGAACCCAGTCGCGTATTGCAGTCAATGACTGTTATGCAATGCGTTGGGTGATTACTCACCTGAACCGGCCGATTCTACGTAAGTGAGAGAACATCTCTCCTCCAGGAACATACTCCATTACCATATACAGGTTAGTATTATCCTAAGTACAGGACACACAAGAGAAAGAGCACAAAAGCATTGAGATATAACCACACACTGCCATTCAAAAGTTTGGACTCAGTCAGATTTGAATCGATTTGAAAGAAGTCTCTTCTACGCACCAAAGCTGCATTTATCTGATCAAAAATACATATTGCAAAATATTATTACAATTAAACTGTCTTCCATTTTAATATATTTTCAAATGTAATTTATTCCTGTGATCAAAGCTGAATTTTCAGCATCATTACTTCAGTCTTCAGTGTCACATGATCCTTCAGAAATAATTCTAATATGCTGATTTGCTGCTCAAGAAACATTTATGATTATCATCATCATCAATGCTGAAAACAGTTGTGCTGCTTAATTTTTGTGTGGAAACCTGATACATTTTTTCAGGATTCTCTAATGAATGGAAAGTTCAGCCGAATAGCAGTATGTCTTTACTGTCGTTTTTGATCAATTTAATGTGTGACTCAAACCTAGGGATGCACCGATACCACTTTTTTCAGAACGAGTCCGATACTTTAATTTTTGGTACTCGCCGATACCGATACCTGTATTTTCACAGGAATTTTTTTCTTTTTTAAATTTTGGGTACAGAAACAAAATAATAGTAATAATAATAATAATATGAATCATGTTAGTTGGCTTCATTTAGCAAACAGATATTACCTTCAGTTATTTCCACACTTAATTATACCTGTTAAAATGTATTGTATAAGGTTTTGTTACTTACACTGTTCATTTTAATGGTGCATTAGAGCTGCTCCATATCAGCAGCTCAATACTGTAATCACAAAACGTTTTCCTAAAATAATGCAGGGAACCACTCGTTATACATTATATGAGTGCACGCGTACTATTTTGGTGATGTAATTTGCTAAACATACGCATGCGTTTGTATTGGTGCAAAATGAGAGACACTTACAGCCCAGCGCATTTCACCCAGTCTTCTAGTTTCACTTCTGCTTTAAATAAAGTTGTGTATGCTTGACGTTTAAAATAAATGCTGTTTATAGTGAATGCCCCTATAATTTTTGTTTGTTTTATATTTACGATTTAGTTTTAATCCAAATGCATGCACTCATGGAGCGAACAGCAATCAAGATCATGCAACAGAAGTGCACACTCTCGGACTCTGTCTCTCTCTCTCGCTCTCCTTACCATCAAATAACTTTAGTAAATTGTGCATTGTTTTAGTCACTTGCTTTTAACATATCCGACCGAACTACAAACTTTCCAGTGATGTCTGTGAGATATTCACGCGACAAGCTCGTGCATCTGTGCAGCAGTGCACTCAATCCACTCAGCGCGCTCTGCTTATCAGCTTGGGCACATCCGCTATACAGGCGTGAATATTGAATGTTTAACATTATATTAATTACTTACATGTACTTCATAGACATCCTTAATCTCTAATAACGCCATTCTACTCCCTGTTGTTTGGTTTTCAGTGTTTCTTTTTCTGGACACAGCTCTATTCACATGCTGTTTGGTATTGGGGCATTTTTACGAGTACGAGTACAGGAGCGCAGTATCGGGCCCGATAACGATACCAGTATCGGTACATCCCTACTCAAAACTCATCTAAAGGCTGAAAGACTGAGATAGATATTTTTGCTATATCATCCTTCTCCAAATATGCAAGTATAGTAGGGGTGCTCCAATCAGGATTTTTGAGGCAGACCACAGAAAGCAGTATCTGCCGATACCGATCTTTTTAAAGCCTTCTTTTTTTTTAATCATTTATAACTATTTATAGTGATACTGATTTTTAGACATTTATTCAGGGCCTGAATTTCATTTTTGAAAATGGAGGGGGGATTCCCCTCTTAAGTGACTCTTGTGAGAGGGGAAGCAGCACTGACTGCTTTCACACAGCAGTCCACTACTGATCCTTGGCTGTTTACCACAAACACAACATTTATCCATTATTACGCAAATGGCTTCAAATCACCACACATCGCGTCTGTCTATAAGCAAGCTGCACGCTGCACAGTTGACACAGGAATTGTCACTTGCACAAACGAGGCAGTGTCACATCATCACTAAAGTTTATAAATTGCATTATCTTTAAATTCTTGCCAGTGTTTAACCATTCAGCGCTCGCGCGCTCTCCTGGACACCATACGCTCATGCACACTCGCAGCGCACACACATAATTCCAGGTTCACATTACTCCGTTTGCAGTGTATGTGGTGCGTATTTTTTCTGCGCTCATGTTAACGGATTAATAAAGCGTGCACACTGCACACGGTTGCTGTCCGGCAGTGCGTTCCAGGTGCGGTGCGTCTGCAGTTGTGCAGAAATCGTTTCCGCACCCAGTCTATTTTTGCTGTGCTGCAAGCGCTGAATTAAAGTAACAGCGCATTTTTTTGCAGTAAATATGAACATGGATTGACACGAAAATGTAGTAATTACACCATAAATGCATATTATTAAAGTCTGTGTTTCACGGTCAACACGTATGGCTTTTTGGCTAGGTTTAAAGGGAAAGAGCACGTTTAGATAAACAAGGCAATAATAGATGGCACTCATGGAGGAAAACAAAGTTCTTCATGAACCACAGGATTGCAATTAACAAACATTTCAATGCAAAAGGAAAAGGCAGTAGAGCTGACTTTTCAGCATTGCAATTCTTTTTTCAGTACAGTAATACAATCTTTCAAAGACATGTTTAAACAATAAATATAAGCAACACATTATTCAATGCTTTTTACTTTTACATTTACTTTAGATTTATATATTAAGTTGCTCAAGCAAGTGGCAAAACATTTAAACTACTTTTCTTACGTTCTTAAGTTCACACAAACTTACCATTGACAGAAATAGTCAGCTCTACTGCCTTTTCCTTTTGCATTGAAATGTTTGTTAATTGCAATCCTGTGGTTCATGAAGAACTTTGTTTTCCTACCTCCACGAGTGCCATCTATTATTGCCTTGTTTATCTAAACGTGCTCTTTCCCTTTAAACCTAGCCAAAAAGCCATACGTGTTGACCGTGAAACACAGACTTTAATAATATGCATTTATGGTGTAATTACTACATTTTCGTGTCAATCCATGTTCATATTTACTGCAAAAAAATGCGCTGTTACTTTAATTCAGCGCTTGCAGCGCAGCAAAAATAGACTGGGTGCGGAAACGATTTCTGCACAACTGCAGACGCACCGCACCTGGAACGCACTGCCGGACAGCAACCGTGTGCAGTGTGCACGCTTTATTAATCCGTTAACATGAGCGCAGAAAAAATACGCACCACATACACTGCAAACGGAGTAATGTGAACCTGGAATTATGTGTGTGCGCTGCGAGTGTGCATGAGCGTATGGTGTCCAGGAGAGCGCGCGAGCGCTGAATGGTTAAACACTGGCAAGAATTTAAAGATAATGCAATTTATAAACTTTAGTGATGATGTGACACTGCCTCGTTTGTGCAAGTGACAATTCCTGTGTCAACTGTGCAGCGTGCAGCTTGCTTATAGACAGACGCGATGTGTGGTGATTTGAAGCCATTTGCGTATTTTGAGAGCAAACGGTGATTCACTCTCGCTGTTTGTGAAATTACATCTCACACAAGGTTTTAAAATTACTTTATAAGTTATCCAATGAAGAAATATGAAGGCGAGTACCTCACCTTCAGCATTATAATGATTTCACCCACGCCTGACAGAGACTGAGACGGTGCCGCTGCATGTCATGCCAAATCTCTCACGGCAGTGTCATCAGCTTGAGATCGTTTTTTTGAGATCGGCCTTTTTAGAGACCGCCGATCAATCATCCCAACATGATTATCGGCCGATCAATCGGAGCACCTCTAAAGTACACATATACACACACACACAGCTGGTACCTTGAACGAGTGCTCCAATCGCACAAGGAACGGGAAACTGACAGCCTGCAGGATGCGTTTCTCATTCAGCGTGTGTTCGATCTGTTTCAGTTTCACCACCTGAAAAACACGAGAAGATGAGCGCTAACATAGACACACACACACACCGTTCAGCGGTGATTCCTCAGAGTGGCTTACCTTCTGTTTATCGAGGATCTTCATGGCAAAATGCTGGCCTGATTCTTTGTGCTTGACTAGCATGACTCGTCCAAATGAGCCAGTGCCTAGAGTCTTCAACCTCTCAAAATGGTCCAGAGATGCAGTGTTCTGTACAACCAGAGAAATAAAGAGGAAGAGAAGATGGAAATTGTTGTTCAATACATTTTTTTTTTTTTCCAAAGACAAATTTGAATGTCCCTATATCTATATGGTTTCTCTAGAGCAGTCAAACTTTCTTGGCAATGATTATTTCACTTATTATCTGAATGTTCACTAACAAGATTATCTACAGTTTAAAGTATGATTTTCAGAAATGTGAAATACAGTAAATAAATCATTCACTATACGTCAAATTTTACTTCTATTATTTCCTCAGGGTATGTAGTACAAAAGCTGTGTACTGAAAAATCACAGAGACTCCATTGTTATTAAGAAAAACAAACAGCAGGTCAGTTCACCTTGTGTACAGAAGGGGGCGCTATGCAACACGCATGAACTCATAGGCTGACAAAGTGATTGTGTGCAGTGCAGAAAATGGGATTAACTGACCTGTGCTGGGTTCTCCCATTTCTTTAGGAAATCTTCTTTGGCTTTAGCAAGAAACTCCTTAACTGAAAATGAAAAAGGCAGATATAATGTGCGTGTTATTATTTATGTGCACAACAGAACAACATTGCACTTAGAGACATGCTAATATGCTAAAAACGAAAAGAAAAAAAATCTGATGAGATATTGCCATTGGAATCTGTTAAAATGTCAACAAGTAGGATATGTAAAAACAGGCATGCTGTATGACAGTCAACATCAACCTTTTACAGCCCCTACAACACATTAAAGTCCATAGTTGCTGGTCTACCCTTATTTATGACAGCAATTTACGTCATTTCGTCAGCTGTGCTGCGTATGAGCTGCTGAAATGCCTGGGAAGACTGCTGAGAACTACTACCTTTTCTACACGTCACACTGCATGTACACAAAGTGAATCTCATGAAAACATTTCACCCTTAAATAAATGTATCCTCATTATTCTTAATTGTGATCTTAATTACATTGTATTACTTTAAAAATACATAAGCAGTTTGCAAAATATTACCACTGTTTACATTTTTTACAATTTCAAAAATAGGCATTACCGCATGCTTTTCATATTTTTTTATGTTGATTAAAAAAAAAAAAGTATTAATTGGTGGAATTCTGCAGCCATATAATACAGGTAATTTAAAGGGAAGGTTCACCCAAAAATGTAAATTCTGTCATCAATTACTCAGCCTTCCAAACCCATATGAGGTTCAAAAGAAGATATTATGAAGAATATCAGTAATCAAACAGTTGATGGTAGTCATTGACTTCCACAGTATATATTTTTTTTTACCATACTATGGAAGTCGATGGCTACCGTCAATTGTTTGGTTTCCAACATTCTTCAAAATATCTTATTTTGTGTTCAACAGAGAGAAAAAAATTCATAAAGGTTTGGAACAAGTTAAAATTGAGTAAATTATGAGAATTTTTGGGTGAACTATCCCTTTAACTTCCTATGTATTTACATCTTACATTCACATTTGAGACTATTTTAGCTGAGCATCCTATAATTTGCTGCACTTACATTTCCCCTTCTCCAATCAACTTTTTAATCAAATTAAGTTGTTCCTCTGAACAATGTATGGAATGGCCCATTTTACTTCAGAAGGAAATATATTTTATATCAATGTGTGGAACATTGCTTCCGTTCCTCCTTAATAAAGGACAATTAATGACCTGTTTATTTCTCAGAATGAATGAATTCTCTAATTAAACTCCACACTGCTATTATTTTGAACACACCTCTTTTAATGCATCAGTCAGTTACTCAGAACAAGCAGCATGCATGTCATGCCAGTTGGGTCTGTTGTTTTTCTATTACACTACTACATCCATAAGTAAATTATTTGCAATGCAGAAATATCACTACTGCTAACAGTGGTTCATCAGGTTACTGATGTTGTAAAGTTAAACTAGCATCTCCATTATATATCAATTTAAGTTCCCTACCACAAAAACACCCAAACAAACTCAAAACTGTGGCCGTCACAGTATTGACCACTTCCGTTTTTCATCATGTTTTTTGTGTGTTCAGAGCCTGTGGCAATCACTCTCATTGGCTGTTCGTGGTAAAGGCCTGTTCTAATTTCCACTGTTGTTAAAACCACATCGACTGAGCTCATGTTATCTAATACTTCCTGAGCCCACCATGACAGAACAAGAGCTCAGACCCAAATCAATATCTACTGACTCTCTCACACTTCATATTTCTCTCACTCTGTGTGTGTGTGTGTACATGTGAGAAAAGTCACAGCATCATAATTTCTGCTTCAGAAACTGAGAAAGAATCAGCAATCAGGTGAGCACACCAATGAAGTACTACTTGAGTATTGCTCCCTCTACTCTTTATAGGACTGTGTGGGAACGTTCAGACTACAGGCTCTTCCTCATTCCACACTACCAGCGCTCACTCTGGGGAAATGTGAGCTGTCGCAGCCACTGAGGAGATCCAACTGTTGCAACTGCTGCGCCCAGAGGAGAAATCCAAAGAAACGCAGTGTGATTGCTGCCATTGAGGACTCTACCGCGGGACACACCCACGTGAAGCATTCTCAAAGTGCAATGCTTTTAAATCCGAAGTAGGGGCATTAAACAATCTCTCTCTGTGGTGAAAAAGGCGTAGAGCAAGGTTAGTCACACTCGAATCTACTGCCATTATCTCCAGTCCACAGGCTCCAGGCAAAGCCTGAGAGAGAGAGAAAAAGCCTCACCCCACAACTTCCCGTCAATTCCCCTGCCTTATTATCTCTGAGAGAGATTCAGGAGTGTCTCTCTCACAAACGCAGTGGTTGATGGGACTGCACACACTCCAGGGGCATATTTGTACTTCATTTAGATAATATGTAGAGGAACTACAGTAGAAGATAGAGGCAGCGGAGAGGACAGTGTCCAAAGTTCACCTAAAATGGATGCTGATCCAATGCTCCATAAAACCGTGCAACAAAAGGTGCTCGAAGCAGATTCAAAACATAGGTAAGGCCTCAGCCGCTTCGCCGTGCACACAACCCGAAAGAAAAAAAAGCCATACTTATTATCTGAATGTTCACTAACAAGATTATCTACAGTTTAAAGTATGATTTTCAGAAATGTGAAATACAGTAAATAAATCATTCACTATACGTCAAATTTTACTTCTATTATTTCCTCAGGGTATGTAGTACAAAAGCTGTGTACTGAAAAATCACAGAGACTCCATTGTTATTAAGAAAAACAAACAGCAGGTCAGTTCACCTTGTGTACAGAAGGGGGCGCTATGCAACACGCATGAACTCATAGGCTGACAAAGTGATTGTGTGCAGTGCAGAAAATGGGATTAACTGACCTGTGCTGGGTTCTCCCATTTCTTTAGGAAATCTTCTTTGGCTTTAGCAAGAAACTCCTTAACTGAAAATGAAAAAGGCAGATATAATGTGCGTGTTATTATTTATGTGCACAACAGAACAACATTGCACTTAGAGACATGCTAATATGCTAAAAACGAAAAGAAAAAAAATCTGATGAGATATTGCCATTGGAATCTGTTAAAATGTCAACAAGTAGGATATGTAAAAACAGGCATGCTGTATGACAGTCAACATCAACCTTTTACAGCCCCTACAACACATTAAAGTCCATAGTTGCTGGTCTACCCTTATTTATGACAGCAATTTACGTCATTTCGTCAGCTGTGCTGCGTATGAGCTGCTGAAATGCCTGGGAAGACTGCTGAGAACTACTACCTTTTCTACACGTCACACTGCATGTACACAAAGTGAATCTCATGAAAACATTTCACCCTTAAATAAATGTATCCTCATTATTCTTAATTGTGATCTTAATTACATTGTATTACTTTAAAAATACATAAGCAGTTTGCAAAATATTACCACTGTTTACATTTTTTACAATTTCAAAAATAGGCATTACCGCATGCTTTTCATATTTTTTTATGTTGATTAAAAAAAAAAAAGTATTAATTGGTGGAATTCTGCAGCCATATAATACAGGTAATTTAAAGGGAAGGTTCACCCAAAAATGTAAATTCTGTCATCAATTACTCAGCCTTCCAAACCCATATGAGGTTCAAATCCCCCTCCTCCCTCCACTGATCCTCCTGAAGAACGAGATTCCCGCTTCCCACCATGCCTCCTGGAGCTTTTTCGGTCACACATGGGCCCTGCCGAGATGGTTCCTCCTTTCTCCTCTTACTCACAGCATCAGGCTCATAGCCCTAGGCATCTTCCTAAGAGGTCCTCGCACACTTGACCCTCGCATCCACTTCAGCTAAGAGCTACAGGTGTGCTTTCAACACTGCTTTTGTCTCCAAGTGTGGCCAATGATTCAGTGTGCTGATCCTGCTCTTCCTCTAGTGCCGAATGTTGAACTAAAGCCCTCGCTTTCTGCAGCTCCACTGTGCGGACATCACCCTGGTAAATCAATCCCCCCTCATGCTCCGTTTGTATCAATATTTATTCTGTACACAGTGCCATTCCACTCACCCTCAAGTGGAACACACACACCTAAAACACAAGCACATACACAAACACACGCACTAGATTGATCCAAATAGGGACCTGGTCGCTTAGGGGAGGGATAAACCTATAACAGCAGTGTCTCATCTAATGAAAAACATGGACAATAAATAGATTGCGTGGCAGTTCCTACAAACCTAAACAAAGCAAAGAAATGGTAACTTATTAAAAGTGGAGAAATTAGGGTCAAAAAGACTCCAGTGCCTGGAAAAATTAAGTGGGCATAAAGGGTACTGCATTAAATGCGTCCCATTGGTCCCTCAAACCCTGGCAATGTCCTCTAGTGGACAGAGTCCACAATTGATTAGTCAAATCAATCAGGGTGGCCCCTCAGCTGCTGTTGCTCGCTCTGACGCACACCAAAGGGGGTCGGCTAGTAGTGCATTGACAGCAAGCGCCCCGCTGTTCTACAAAAACACACACACACACACACATATCTGAGAGCAGCACCCATTTGCAGACAGTGCAGCCTCAGGCCTGGCATTTCAGCCACTTTCAGGGAATAAATGCAGTGGTACAGCAAGAGTAAGGCAGAGACACCGGAAGAATCAGGGACAGATGGATTTAAAGACTGAGGCAGATCCAGCCACCCTGGCCAGGTGGAGACTCAAGGGACAGTGACACCTTTGGTAAGTCTCTCCCTCCTCCATGACCTCATTTCTCAAGACTATAGGTGCTGCTCTAGTCCAGGTATAATCTCTTTTCGGCTCTCAGATACTTGACACGCTTCCACGGACTAACTTTGTGGATACAGAGTTGGTAAACGTGGGGTATTTTAAGCAAATGTCCATGTGCCCTGGTGGGAATTTGAGAGGAGACTTTTAAAAATCACACAACAGTCGACCAAAGACAATGCGGAAGAGTTGGTAAAAAAAGGACTGATTTAACAGATGCTATGAAGACACCGCCTGTAAAAAAAACCCATCAAATTGCAAATCAAATGCGTCTAGGCCAATCGCAAACTATCAAAGAGTCTGGCGTCTGACCCTACAGTCATCTGAGAGTGGATAAGCGCCACATGAACGGGTGATGCCGTTAGCCTTAGTTCATAATTCAGACTGGCAGGAACAGCAGAACACTGGGACCCCAACAAAGCGGGACACACTGACAGGTTTCCCAGGAGACAGAGAGCCAGCTTCCCTGGAACTCCTGTATGACGCAGCCAATGCCAGGCAACAGCACAAACATTAGAAGATGAATAAAAAGGGCTTTGTACCCAGGATGTGCGTGTCGGCAGTCCCACATCAATCCACAAAGCACAGCGAGAGGTGCTAATCTAAACATGATCTCCATATCACACATGACTTAAATTTACAACATACTTTCTGTTAAACCCAAATCTCTTTTTGATCCCATTATGAAAAACATCTATAATTCATGGTCAGCCAATATGGGTTTTCAAAGGGAAATATAACATCTATAGAGCAGGATAATCAAAACAATGGCATTTAATGAAAATGAAAGCAAATTTCTAAAATAAACAACATTTACTTAAATTGTAAAAATGAACCGTTTATCCTCCATTGGCTAAACCTTAAATGGTCAAATATAAGCCTGGTTGATATATCATCATCCATAATCAAAGGTGAAGTATTCAAGATGATAATCGGTTGATCTCACACACTAATTTTGGAGTCAGGCCAGCACTTCCCTATAGATCAGACGGGGAGGTAAGCCCTTTAGACATGCAGGTTTCTCCTCCCCCTTTGCCAAGCCCCGCCTTCCACACTTATGTCCAAACACTCACTGTGCCAGCAGCCTTAACCCACATAATGTCTCAGGTCAGTCACTCACTCCAGCAAGAGGCCTCCGACTCATCCTGGGACTGGTAGTAGCCGCCCTCCCCACCGCTAGGTTCACCGAGACAGGGACCTGCCCGCTGGAACAGCCTCTCTGCCAACCTCTGCAGCACTGACATGGTAAACAGCCGTGAAAGTAAGCGTGGCGTAGAGGCATCCGACTTTGTACGGCTGTGTTTCCAAACTCTTTTTACAAAAGAGAAGTAAGGATCACTTCTTGTCCGAGACTCTTCTATTTTGACCTCTCTGATGATTTGGGACTCAGGGTAGGCAGGGCTGAACCTTCGGCGTTTCCTTGCCTTCCTGTGCTGGGCTTACACACCCTGTTTCCTCCTGTGGGGTTCCTTGAACAGTCAGGGACTTGTGTTTCCACCACAGCCCACCTATGCATTAACCCTTACTGTCGTACCTTGATCTGATCCACAGCATTGTCTGCCATGTTGTCCTCTCTTGTCCGTGCACACAGTAAAATATGGCCCTCCCCGGCCTGTGGCCCCGGATGGTAGTCAGCACCTGTCTCTAGGGATCAGGGCGGTCTACTGCCGATGGAGCAGATATGGATGTGAAGCATGGCATGAATAAAGTCCCCCATTCCGACCAGGGGAGAGAGAGCTAAAGCCCACCGTGGGGATGCCCGCTGGAACAGCCTCTCTGCCAACCTCTGCAGCACTGACATGGTAAACAGCCGTGAAAGTAAGCGTGGCGTAGAGGCATCCGACTTTGTACGGCTGTGTTTCCAAACTCTTTTTACAAAAGAGAAGTAAGGATCACTTCTTGTCCGAGACTCTTCTATTTTGACCTCTCTGATGATTTGGGACTCAGGGTAGGCAGGGCTGAACCTTCGGCGTTTCCTTGCCTTCCTGTGCTGGGCTTACACACCCTGTTTCCTCCTGTGGGGTTCCTTGAACAGTCAGGGACTTGTGTTTCCACCACAGCCCACCTATGCATTAACCCTTACTGTCGTACCTTGATCTGATCCACAGCATTGTCTGCCATGTTGTCCTCTCTTGTCCGTGCACACAGTAAAATATGGCCCTCCCCGGCCTGTGGCCCCGGATGGTAGTCAGCACCTGTCTCTAGGGATCAGGGCGGTCTACTGCCGATGGAGCAGATATGGATGTGAAGCATGGCATGAATAAAGTCCCCCATTCCGACCAGGGGAGAGAGAGCTAAAGCCCACCGTGGGGAAAAAAAAAAAGCACTCAATTTTTGCAACTGAATGTAACAAGCATATTCAAATGACATGCAGTCACATGCAAATAGAAATCCACTCTTCACACATGGATTCTAGCAGCAGCATGCCACTGAGATCCATTTCACACATATCTGTTTCACCACCACCAACTACGCCTTATGCAGGCTAGGCTTAAAAGGCGCCTTGAAAGGTTTTTGACTTTGGATGAAACTGCATCAAATATATGGCAGAGGACTTGTATACATGGGTAGTTGACAAAAAACATGTATTTGAACTTTTTTCCAATATCATCATTGTTCACCTAAAATAAATGCCCCTGTGGAAATGAGTTCATTTCTGATTTATATATATATATATATATACATATATATATATATATATTATATATATATATCTATATATATATATATATATATATATATATATATGAGAAAATCATTCACTTAGCTTCATGTAATTTCAAACCAGTTTGCTTTTTTTCCCCATCGTGGTTTTTCACCATTTTGAATGAACTTTTCGCTTTTTTGCAGTCAGTAAAATATGCATGACAAATTTAACGTTAAACGTAGTCACTCAATTAATATTAGTCTATTTCATGAAGATAAACAGTAGTTTTAAAGTTTTCGATGAAGTAAGCCCTATACAATATCCCGCTAAATGACACTCGACGACCCAATTACGCTCCTTTAATAAGATTCTTCTTCTGAGTGCTTCACATTTTTCTATGCACTAACACTTTCTAATACTTCAAGTTGATTTGGGTGGGTGATTCCTAAGAGATACTTTTATCAAGATTTTCATTTAATGAGGGGGGGGGGACTTTATATAATAAATAGCCACGTGATAATTTGGATAAAGTCATTACAGCTCGTACCTGCTAAAAACATCTGTTTTGGTTCTTATCATCATGTTTATCATGCTGAAATCTTGTGTTTTAAACCATATGAGTTTAAACTTCTGATATACGGTTTTCTGAGAGCACACATCCGAAGCACACGGACAGAAAGCGGCTGTCACAGCATGTGACTACTAAACTAAGTTCTCATTCACACACAAGTTTACATTAAAAACACACAAGTTACAAAAACAGTCGGTTATGTCTGTGAAGGTAAACAGCTGGGAAATAAAATCACATGTTTATTTTAGATCTGTGTGGCAGCAGCAATATACATTAAATAAATCAATAAATCCACTGCTCTCTTGTCTGCTCTGAGACTGGGACTCTAAATAGTGTTCGGTGCTTGTCTGTGCAGCCAAAGACAAAACAGTTAGCATGTTTTGCTCAAACTTTCACCATGGCATTACACCATTGTCGCTTGCGAAATCAAAATGACGGCGCCTTGGGTGTAAACGTACAGATTATGGGGTGGTAATATTACAATGAGATCCCTTTGCCACGTCACCAAGGGAGCGAAATCAGATGCGCTCGTTTTTTCAGAAGCTTGAAGAAAAAGGCTTAACAAAACAAAGTTACTGGGTTAATCTTTTTCACGTTTCCTTGGTTGGTAGATGCACCGGGGGCTGATTATAGCACTTAAAACCTGTAAAAGTCAGATTTTCATGATATGTCACCTTTAATGAAAAATAAATGAAAGAAATACATAATCATAATCTATGACAAAAAATATACTATTATAAACTAGGTTAGTGGATAATTCAGCAGCAAAAGTTATTCTAGAAAAATCATGGGTGCACAATTTTATAAAAACATTAAACTGAACATTTAGTGAAACAACATTTAGTGGGGAAGGGGAACAAATAAAAGTTAAGTGTAGGGTTAAATCTGGTAAAATGCTACACATTGCTCTTTGTATTGTTGTAAAATACATTCATGAAAAACAAGTATGTATAATATATATATATATTTTTTTTTTACACAAACATACATACACAGTGCCGTAAAAAGGTTTTTGCCCCCTACCTGTTTTGTTTATTTTTTGCATATTTGTCACACGTAAACAACCAGTTATTAGATTTAGGGGGCAATTACTTTTTCACGTAGTGCCAGGCTGGTTTGGACAGCTTTTTTCCCTTAATAAATGATATCATAATTTCAAAACTGCAGTTTGTATTTACTCAGGTTATCTTTGTGTAATATTAAAATTAGTTTGATGATCTGAATCTTTTAAGTGTGACATATGCAAACAATTAAAAAAACAGGAAGGGGCCAAAACCTTTTTCACACCACTGTACACACACGCAACATATGATAGATAGAACAGAACAAAATACTTAATCTTTCATTGCGCAAAATTCTAATACGAAAGCGTATGGCTCCAATACAGAGTGGCACAAAGCGCTTAAATGTGCATTCCATGCGCAGAATGATGCGCTTGAAGCAACACGGAGTCACAGCGCTCCGCATAGAAAAGTGAAGAGATATTGCTGCGTAGTGTACTATATCTGTGCGATATTTTATTGAGCATTTTCTTTTAACAGTTTTACATCTCAGTTATTGTGTGCTCTTGAAGAGTTTCTTCGTTTTGACTGTAGTAACCGAACGCAACAAGCAGTTTGAATGCTAAATTGAGGATGACAGACAGACACAGCGGGGAGAAGAGTTTACGTGAACTTGACTTAAATATTCATCTATACTTCACATTAAACTATGGAACAGCTTAGGAACACTTAATATATAGTGCACAAAAACTTTATGGTGCTTTATAATGTTTTTGTGCCTTTCGTGGGGCTTAACAATAACACCGCATAGTATACGCACAATATCGGATTTGGATCGGTCTAATCTGACCGATACCCGATCCGGCAGAAAATGGCAGTATCAGAGCCGATACCGATACTGAGTATCGGATCGATGCATCCCTAGGTAAAACTGTTTTGCTGTCGCACTTTGTATATATAAAAAATAAATAAACAAATAAAAAAACCATACCACCCATCCCCAGCAGGCAAAAAGCGCTTATAAAATGAAGGAATATCTTGGAGACATCTGATGCTGCTATTAAAAACTCACACAAGAAAGCAGAAGCAAAGCAAACTTTTGCGACAGGAAAAGAGAGAAAGCAAAGAAATTAAATCGCCTGAAGATGCAGACAGAAGGCCACACACAAAGTGGTCTTGTTCATAACAGTGTTCATCACATGAGGTTCAAGAGACTGTTCAGCGTCAACACTCCAGGCCGGCTGGATCACACAGGCTGCATCATATGACCCCGCCTCCATGACTTTACAGTCCGGACCTCCTCCTCCTCTTCGCATCGGTTCCCAAGTGCTCTCTGAAGACTCATGGCAGGCCTGTGTTTATGTTTCGGGTCCTCTTCACTCACATCCTCCTCATAAATACAATTATTGCTGGTTTGACCTTCGGGGTCAGAGATTTTTTTTCTCATGAAACCCACTGCAGCTGTTGAATTAGGGTTCCTTTTCTCAGCTGTTCCTGGAGCATGTTTCCATTTATGATGATATGTAATCATTGCCACGCTATGAAGTTCAAATGGGAGAGGACACCAGGCTATTCAACTTAGAGATAAACTCAATTTATTGAGGGATGGATTCAACTGATGTCCAAGAAGAGAACTGCACCTATGAAGACTGCCTGTGACTTTATTATAAAGGTTGAAAAATTGTTTCAGCTGCCAAATAAACAAGCACCAAGTTTCAAGAGCTATAGTTCTAACTCTTACAGCTATTGCTCTCTAATAATAATAATAATAATAATAGTAGTAGGACATGGCAAGCATGCAATTCACAGGTAAACAACAAGCAAAATCTTTAGAGGACATTATTCTTGCATCTCTTCCTTGCAAAAGCTTTGCATTCATGATACTCTTCCAAAGAAGAACACATGGACTTCTTGCAAAAACTAAGGCTACGTTTACACGACAACGGTGTAGTCAAAAACAGAAAAGTTTTTCCCTTGCGTGTTTAAAAATCATCAGATTTTCATGCAAGTCCTGAAAGTTAACAAAGAGAACCCAATCAAACAAATGAGATGAAAATATATACTCTTGTCATTTATTTATTCAGGAAAATGATCCAATATTACATATCTGTGAGCAGCAAAAGTATGTGAATCTCTAGGATTAGCTGTTAATTTGAAGGTGAAATTAGAATCCATCTGTTCAGAGGTTCCACTGTTACCCTCCCCAGGAGTGGTCCACCAACAAAGAACACTCTAAAAGAAAGACATGTAAAAGTCCACTAGGTTTCAAAGGACTGCAGGCAAACTTCTAAGCAACTAAAGGCCTTTCTCACATTGGCTAATGTTAATGTTTATGAGCCCATCATCAGGAGAACGCTGAACAACCATGGTGTGCATGTCAGAGTTGCAATTGCTGCTCATCTGCAGTTTGCTAAAGATCATGGACAAGTCAAAGGAATACTGGAGAAATGTTTTGTGGATGGATGAGACCAAAATAGAACATTTTGGTTTAAATGAGCAGCGTTATGTTTGGAGAAAGAAAACACTGCATTCCAGCATAAGATCCTTATCCCATCTGTGAAACATGGTGGTGTTGGTGGTAGTATCATGGTTTGGGCCTGTTTTGCTACATCTGGTCCAGGATGGCTTGCCATCATTGATGGAACAATGAATTCTGAATTATACCAGCAAATTCTGAAGGAAAATGTCAGGACATCCGCCTGAATGACATGAGGGTGAGTAAATGATAACAAAACTGTATCTTTGGGTAAAACATTTCTTGTAAAAAAGTAATACACCTTCATTTGTTGTAATATAGACATAGAATAAACACATTTGGCAATTATCACAACCAACAAATGTGTTCTAAAAGGCTCATGGCTTGTGCAACATTATTGCAAGAGGCTGAAGAGATTCACCAAAACTTCCTGACAACCTCAAGTGTTTACACAAAAGAATCCTTGAAAACTCTTCCTTGGATTCACTCGTAAGCCATGTCTCATGCATGCATATTTTTGCTCTGTTGTATCAAGCATGCTTAACTTATGCTTAACGTTTTAAAGCAGCTATAATACCCGCTAAATCTAGAAAGTAGTGATGTTTGTCAAGAGATCATTAAACGGCTATGACTAGTTGCAGAGGAAGTGTATAATCTGAATGTCTAAAAAATAGATATTGCTTTGCGACTGGTTTGATTTCCAGACTCACTCTCAGTGTCATAATCAAGGACACCCTGCTTTTGACAATCACATTCAACTCTAACATCTCATAGCAGTCAATTAAAGTGATTTAAGAGCACTGGGCCTTTATTTGAAGATCATATAGGATCCTGGGATACTTAAGGGAGGGGTAATTTAGAAACCATCATATTGCTATCAACCCCATATGAGTTTTCTACCGTGAGGCACACAAAAGAGATATTATGCACTGACAGCCTTCCTCACTATATTTGTACATACTTTGAAAGTTAATGCGCCATTGTCTTCCTCTGAGCTCCACAGAAGAAAGTTACAGGCTTAGAAGGACATGATTGTGAGTAAATACTAGATTCGTCATTTTGGGGTGAACTATACCTTTAACTATGATGTCAGATCATGTTAGTCATTCATTCAATGGAAACGAATGGCCAAGATCAGTTCAGGCAGGCGGTTCACTATGCTTTGAAACCCAGCCTGAGTGAGACTAATTCAAGTAAACACACAAACACTTACCGCTCTCCATCTCATTGCCCTTGTTCTTGGCGGTGGGCGCGTTGCCCATGATTGCAGGCCAGGTATAACAGATCGAAATCGACTTTTTCTTTACGCCAACTGTCTTCAGACTCCGTCCCCTTTTCTGCTCATACGATTTCTGCGTCCGTTGCACTAGCTATGTCTGGTCATAACTCGATGGATCACAGTATGCTGTCAGATAACATACAGTCTGGAGGTTGATCGTAGCTGGTTAGTTGGTTAGCTAGCTAGCGAGCGAGCGCTAGCTAGCTAACAGTAGCTGTCTGGTTGCAGTGCTTCGGGTTCGGTAATGTCTCTCGGCTCTCCTGGGTCGGCTCGGGTCCGTTGAAATAGCACTAAGAGCCCGTCTTCTTCTCTCGTTCCTCTTCCTCGCTCTGCTAACCCTCAGCGAGGCCCTCGACTTTCCTCTCGAGCGCCACAAGCCCTTGTTTTCAGCCTCCGTGCGCGATTCCTGTCGCTGCACGCCGACTTGGCCGTACCTTTTCGGTAGCCTGGTCGTTTGCTCGTTTATGTTGATAAAGCAATTCGGTCGTGTGCACTATGTAGTTCGCATAATTCGACAGTCAGACCCCTTCCATTAATCCCCTATCCACAGCTACAGGGAACTCCTGCTTCAGCGAGACCTACGCGATGCCCATTGGCCGTTATGCTTGTGACGCGCTAGCGCAGTGCGCCGCTGATTGGATAAGAGCTCAGCAATCCAATGCAGGGTGAGCGATGATTGGCCAACTGATATCTGTCTGTAGGATTTTATCCCACCCCCGCAAATTGACAAATAACGTAATCTATTTTCATTTCATTAACACGGGTTTCTCTGTCCGCTTTCCGTCTTTGTAAACGGGCGCGGTCTTTTGCCTTCTCAATCCAGAATCGGTTTCATTCACAATCCTTTGGTGATCCTCTGCGGTGTGTTTGTTAGCGAAATGGCCGCGCAAGCCCCTCCCGCGAGACTAATCCGTGATGGGCTGCATGACGTCAAGGCGGTCTATTTTTAGAAAGTTGGTCAGAATTTGAAAACGCGAACACCTTACGTCTATGGAATATTAAAACGGGGTCTGTCTTGTGCAAAACAAGCACGCCGAGGTCATATGCGCAGGTAAATGCATTGCATTTCGGCAACGAATGCGCGCGCTAGGATCGTGCAGGAAACGGAAAACGAGTCCCAAGTACCAGCCAACGCGGTTTCGTGATGCACGTGAGCAGGTTGCATGATTTACTGTGCATAGCAACCGCAAATGCATTAATAATGCCGTGCAATAACATAAAGAGAAGCAAAACCCACAACGTGACACTGATGCTAATTAAACACCGATTTAAAAAAAACACTACTTTGAGATTGTCACATATGCTGCAATAGTTGTTGCCAAGCAACAAGCAAGCGGCTTGTGTCACTCCAAACATGGTGTGCTCCTGCATAATGCAACAACTTTTTTATGAATGAAAAGGCTGCACAGCTGCAGCCACTCTGTGCACAAGGCAAATCAAAGTAAAACAACTTCAATGACTTATCACGTAACAAAACATTTATTTAATTGAGAACTAGCATACAAAAAGACAGCGATATATATATATATATATATATACACAATATAATACAGTCCCACATACAAAAATATTGTCCGCTGCAACCTTTTACAAAATGACTGCTGATTGTGTCTGTTAAATGAATTATGCATCTGACATCTTATCTGCTGAGCTGATCTTCCATTCCTTCGGTTTGAGGAAGGATCTGTTTTGGATCAAAAGTTCAAAATGCAGCACATCCTAATACCTAAATCATGTCTTAGATTCATGACTCATCAGCTCTCCATTCATGTTTCAAACTGAAAAGCAAGCATGTTTATTGCATACTGGAGGATTTGCCATATGCTGCACAACACCACTGATTTGTTTCAAATACATTTGGCAACTGTATCAAAATTAGATAAATTTTTTTTTTTTTCCTGATGTGTTTGAATAATCCCGCCTCTCCTCCACAGTGTCCAGATTGACCTGAGCTCACGGATGAGCCTTGAGATGTGAGGATTATTCACAGGAGCCTGCGTCACTACAAACAGTCCATGGAGTTGTCCGGCACCAGGCCGAGTGGAGGTGCTTTTCCCGGAGTGCAGGATGGGGGCAGCATGGTGTTGGGTGCAGGGTCCACGTTCTCGGAATCCTCCATTTTCTCAGCACATCCCTCCCAGTTGATGTGAAATCTGGTTACACGTGGGTTGGAAGCCAGAATGTTCCTCTGGAGCTGAAAGCAAGCAGATAAAAGGTCTTTGAATACACACTTTAATTTTACAGGGATGCAAAGTCATCAGGGATGAAATGGATGACGATAATACAACACCCCCAAGGGAACTTTTGTAAAATATCATCTTCAAAATGTTTAGTTACAATCAATTTTAGCATGTTGTCTCAGGCCACATTCACACTTTTGCTTTAATGGAACCCATTCAATATTTATGAAAGCTTGTTTCCGCCACAAAATAGCAAAGATCAAGTTAATTGCGACTTTTTATCTGACATTTTTCATGCAATTCTGAGATAAAAGTTAGAAATGTGAGAAACATACAATTGCAAGACAAGTTAGAATTGTGAGATAAAAAGTCACAATTACCTTTTTTATTTATTTATTTATTTATTTTATTCTGTGGTGGAAATTTAACTATAAAATAAAAAATAAACAATATTATTATTGTTATTATTTTTTTTATTTTATTACATTTTATAAATTAAATCGATAAAGAATAAAAATAAAAAAACTCAAACACACTGTTGTTTTCAATGGAACTCATTCAATATGACAATACAATAATAATAATAATGATAATTATTATATTGTAGTAATATTAATATTGAATTACATAAATTAAACCAATAATGAAATATATTACTATAGTAATAATACCTTTATTAGCACTGTGAGTTACGGTGACCCTCATAATACTCCACACCTTTTTTTACAACAATTTTTTATCAGAATTCAGGGCTCGACATTAATCTTTGACATGTGCTTGTCCTTCTGACAATTAAATCAGTCATTCACTTGTCCGGGGGGAAAAATGTAAATGTATTTCATTCTGAAACAATGGTTTCATCAGTGCTCTATCAGGTCTTACTTTAACCCTTAAACATTTTGGGGGCACCTGACACGCCTGCGCTTTTCTTTGTTTTTTCAGACTTATTCTAGCAGTCAGCATCAAGTTTCATATATCATTATAAACAAAAGAACTTGAAGTTTCAGTCTAGCTAATTTAAAGTCCCAATTTTCTTTTTGTTTTCTCTAAGAATGAATGAATTTCCAGAATTTTGAGAAAAACACAAGCAACAATTGTATCTGGGTGTTTTACACTTCCAAATAAAATTGTCTACATATAACATTCCCCAATCAAGTTATAGCCATTTATCACAATATTGTTATAGGCGCTTTTAAGTGAAAAACAGGTCCATTTAGTGTACTAACAATATAGATGTGTCCAAAAATGTTTAGGGAGTAAAGAAAATGGAATCAGTGTTACATAATAACAAAACCGAAAATTTTCAGAGAAATATTTTCAAGCTCAGTATGAACAACAAACACAAACCGTGCAGCTATTTAGTGAAAACAATTGCACAAATTGTCTTCTGCAACAAAAATACAAACAGTGCAAATTATTCACAAACTACACACAAAATCAGTGAGAAATTTACAGAGTGCAACAGAAAAAAATTGTGCAAATTATCATGATAATTTCTTATTAATTATCATTAATAAGAATTATTTACATAATATAAATGGATCGATCCGCTGGCTGTACTCTGCCTCGGAATCGATTTTACAGAGACATTAGCGACACTAATATCTAAATTACAGTGCTTTACCCAATATGTACCACTGTTTCATCCTTGTTTTTGGTTTGTTTTAATGTCGAAGTACTTTATCGTGTGTTTTTATGTGCTTTTGCAGAGTTCTCTCATGCAAATGTGTTATTTTGTGTTTGTTTTCATGCATGCATGACAGACTTTACTTTCACTTTGCGTTTGTTCAAATGTCCAAAGAAACAAGCTAGTTGGTGGTTCAAAAGACCAAAACCTATGTTTATTGGTTGAATATGGGACAGTTTTAACCAATCTGGGCACGGAGGTGGGACTAAGCGTCAACAATCATTCCTGTTTGGCTCAGAGGAACGAAATGCATTGGTTTCTTCTGACGAATCAACGTTGTCAAAATGCGATGACGTAATCACGTACACTACAGAGCCTCTGAATATGCAAATGAGACAAATGTGATACCTCCGAAAAGCGGAGAAACTCTGCTTTACAACACTTTTTCAAGCATTCATATAGGACTAACTGTTCACAAGTTATTAATCATTTAAGAGCAATAGTTATTTGTAGCCGCGGGCGGCTGTCTCGGTCTTTGAGGGTTAATGAGCATATTTGTGATAGTTGTCTTAAATTGATTTTACACAGAAACACAGAAGCTGCTTCAAAAGTGCCATTTAGATGTATTTATTCTCAGACTGTTTAATGAAGACAAGAGGTTCCATAAATGCATTTACACAGTAAAACTGCAAATGCATAAATGTTGGAAAAATACAATGATACTTTTAAATATGAAACCAAACCACCAGTAGGTGGCGGACTTTCACTTTGCGTTTGTTCAAATGTCCAAAGAAACAAGCTAGTTGGTGGTTCAAAAGACCAAAACCTATGTTTATTGGTTGAATATGGGACAGTTTTAACCAATCTGGGCACGGAGGTGGGACTAAGCGTCAACAATCATTCCTGTTTGGCTCAGAGGAACGACATGTATTGGTTTCTTCTGACGAATCAACGTTGTCAAAATGCGATGACGTAATCACGTACACTACAGAGCCTCTGAATATGCAAATGAGACAAATGTGATACCTCCGAAAAGCGGAGAAACTCTGCTTTACAACACTTTTTCAAGCATTCATATAGGACTAACTGTTCACAAGTTATTAATCATTTAAGAGCAATAGTTATTTGTAGCCGCGGGCGGCTGTCTCGGTCTTTGAGGGTTAATGAGCATATTTGTGATAGTTGTCTTAAATTGATTTTACACAGAAACACAGAAGCTGCTTCAAAAGTGCCATTTAGATGTATTTTTTCTCAGACTGTTTAATGAAGACAAGAGGTTCCATAAATGCATTTACACACTAAACTGCAAATGCATAAATGTTGGAAAAATACAATGATACTTTTAAATATGAAACCAAACCACCAGTAGGTGGCGGCAAGTCACTGTCTTAATTAGTGAGTCATTGATTCAACCGATTCGTTCAAACGGCTGATTCATTCAATAAGTCTTTATGAATGGCTGAAATGTATCATGGTCTGTGCTGAATCGCGCATATGATCCGCTCAGTGCTATCATGTCTCTGGACAGGAGCACTCTGTACGTACTGCAGCGGTTCACGTGACAACACGAAACCAGACTTCCTTCGTCCCCATGGAAAGCATATTTACACCGTCTGAATCGTTCCCTATCCCCTATATAGTGCACTACGTGCCATTCACCATTCAGAAAATGCTAAGTCTGTGAACAAGTGACCAATTTCAACCGCAGCTTCAGCGTTTATTTATAGTGAAGGGGGCGGGATGCTTCGGATTCTAGAGAGCATTTGATTGGACAGAAAGTTGGATGAGAAGCTGAAGTGCAGGGTCATCAATATCGTAGATCCATATTGGCGGCAGTGAGAGACTGTCATTTTTGAATGCTTTTATCTTCTAAACACAAATTTTGTCATTGTTTTGGAGCACACTAGCTTATAGAAAACCTTCAATTTTGATTTCATGGGGACTTTAATTTCACGGAGTGTAAGAATCATGGTGACATACCTGTCCATAGTCAGGTTTGAGGGGCGGGTTCTCACGAAGCTCAGTGTCCGTGTACTCATTGTTAACATAGTAGCCGATGCGTATAAACTCCTGTCCTCTGTATGTGCATGTGATCAGAACAACAGTGACACCCACAGCATCACTCTCGGGTATTAGGCCAGTGTTTGGAGCGTCCGCCTGTTGCACAAAAGACAAAGATACCATAACAGAAATGAATGAGTGAAAGGAAAGTATTACTTAGAATACGTGCATGACTCTAACTGGGTGTAACTGCAGGATAAGTACACTTATTGACTTTGACTTGGGTACATTAAATACAGAACAACATTACAGGAATAGTTCACCTATAAAGGAACCACACTCGTGTAGTTTCAAATGCACAACACAAAAAAATGTTCACTCCTGTTCTGCTAGCTAAACCTACTTTTGTGCTGCATAGATGACTCGAATACAGGACTTACAACTTTCTGCTGCTGTGTGAATGTGGCCATATTAGAGTGACCATGTAATTTAATAAATAACAATCTCAATAATAGTTGCGGTGAGACTGTGGCTATAAAAGTACTGATGAAGTGCAAAAAAAGTTTTTTAAGTTACATTAAACAGACGCAACACTTTGAAAAAGGCTCATTTATACCCTATTTGTGTGTGGTTTTTTTAACGAAGTAAACATTGTTGATAATGATAATCCGTGTTATGAACTCACCTGAAACACAAACATATGTCGGCCTGCAGGAACTGGACCAACCAGGACAGAGTCAAGAGTTTGATCATACTCTTCACTTTCCGCTGAGCCCACGTAAATAATCTTCCATTCGAGATCTATAACACAGAAAACTATTTTATTCAAAAGATCAGATTTTCCTGTATAATGTGTAATTACAATCAACTATTCGGAAAAAAAAACTATAACACACACACTACTGACCAAAAGTTTGGAATAATTAACCATTTTTAATGTTTTTGAAAGAGGTCTCTTTATTGATGTTTTTTGCAGCTTAATATGTTTGTGGAAACCATAATACACTACCATGCAGTGCACACGGTAAGTCCGATTTTTAAAAAATAAGGACATTTATATTTTTATTCAGCAAGGACGCGTTAAATTAAATTGCATATAACTGACATGTATTATGTTAAAGAAATGCTGTTCTTTTTAACTTTCCATTTAAAGAATCCTTTAAAAATATTCTGATTTCCAAAAAATATATATTAAGCAGCAAAACATTTCTTGAGCAGCAGATCCGCATATTAGAATGATTTCTGAAGGATCATGTGACACTGAAGACTGGAGTAATGATGCTGAAAATCCAGCTTTTGCATCACGTAATGTTGAACAAATTACATTTTAAAATCTATTCAAACTGAAAACACTTATTTTAGATTGTAACACTATTTCACTAAATTACGGTTTTTACTGTATTTTTGATTATAAGTTTGGAATAATTAACCATTTTTAATGTTTTTGAAAGAGGTCTCTTTATTGATGTTTTTTGCAGCTTAATATGTTTGTGGAAACCATAATACACTACCATGCAGTGCACACGGTAAGTCCGATTTTTAAAAAATAAGGACATTTATATTTTTATTCAGCAAGGACGCGTTAAATTAAATTGCATATAACTGACATGTATTATGTTAAAGAAATGCTGTTCTTTTTAACTTTCCATTTAAAGAATCCTTTAAAAATATTCTGATTTCCAAAAAATATATATTAAGCAGCAAAACATTTCTTGAGCAGCAGATCCGCATATTAGAATGATTTCTGAAGGATCATGTGACACTGAAGACTAGAGAAATTATGCTGAAAATCCAGCTTTTGCATCACGTAATGTTGAACAAATTACATTTTAAAATCTATTCAAACTGAAAACACTTATTTTAGATTGTAACACTATTTCACTAAATTACGGTTTTTACTGTATTTTTGATTAAATAATAATGCATCCTTGGTTGCATGACTAGTAGTAGTGTATGATTTTGTTGCAATTAAAAGAGCAGATTTAACATTTTACATTTAATTTCCTAGTACTAGGGTGTCAAATGTAAGAGATGTGAAGTGTATTATTATACATTTATGTGCATTTCATCTGGATTTTTCGTTTATATTAGATAAGCTAAATCTATACTGTTGTTCAGAGATCATATGTAACAAAGTTTTACAGAAATATGAACGTTTCTATATGGCAACCCTGTAGCATAGTGGAATTAGAGTAATGCATTTGCTAATTTGCGAGGTTTTAATAAATAATACCATCGATATGTATTATTGCGGTTAGTTATTTGGAAAGATTTATCGTAATATAACAAACGCAATGTCCACGCATAACTAACAGATTTATGCGTCTTTTTCTTTCTTTCTTGGCAATACACACATCAACGATTAGTTGGGTTTAAATGAGAATAAAGGATAAGTTACAGCTCAGCTTCCTCCTCGCGCGCTTCAATCTCCCGCCAATCTGACGTCATCTGCAGGAGCTAGCGCGTTAGCTAGCAGGCTAACGAAGAACGAGAAAACCTCTCAAAAATTAATATCCACTTTAATACTCACCTTCGGGAAGATCCTCCATGCACTCAAATGTTACTTCGAATTGAAACGGGTTTCCAAACGGACTCGGGTTGTCCAGGACAGCTACATTTAGCACTTGCACTTTTGCCATTGCTCTAACCTTACTGCAGTATCAAGGAAATTGACACAATTCCCCCCCCCAAAAAACAATGCAAGACTAATAAATCGAGAACAAATTCAATTACTCAACAGACGTTTTCCAGTAAAACGTTTGAGGATTTGGCTTCACTTCTTAGCTTGCGAGCTATTAGTCCAATACCGCAGACTCTGCTGTTAAACCAGGGGAATAGAGAAGTCTAGGTTGCCTCTCCTCCCAAATTAAAAGGAAAAAGAATTCAAACTATGATCGAGAATAACGTGTAGACGTAAAACAGATGTTATTTCGCGAAACCCGTTACTTAAACTGACAAATACGAGCTGCGGTCAATGCGTTGTCTCCCGCCAGAGCTTTCAGATGGCTCCAGGAAGCGTCACGGAAAGCGGATTGGTTTGCGCGCTGATTGGTCAGTAGATCAAAGGTCCCGGATTCTGCGGTCGCTGATTGGTCAGTAGACCAAAGGTCCCGGATTCTGCGGTCGCTGATTGGACGACAGTGACAGCTGTTAAGAGGACGAGCCCTCCTCTGGGTTTGACCAGAGCCGCTGAGAAACAGTGCTGCGTTCAGCCCCGACAAAACGGTGCAAAACGTGTTTTAAACGGAAACGGTGGTGCGTTGAACACTCTGTTCTGAAGACGCAAGAGTTGCAGCTATGGCAGCTGAGAAGGCCATTCTTTGTGATCTTTTTGAAGAATTTCCGGAGCCTGATGAAATCAGTATAAATACGTGTTTAATACTGCAACATAGGCTCGATGTTACTGTCACTGCCCTTGCCCTCCAGAATAAAAGAGAACATCCCAATCAAATGAAGGGATTTGTGGAAACTGTGGTTCCTAATTATTGTGATCCAACATTTGCCTCGCATTTCAGGATGAAAAGACAAACATTTCAGGTGAAGGATAATCCACTTCTTACCTCCGAGACTGTGTTATGATCTATATGACCTTATTATTTTTATTGTGAGTATTAGGCTTATCATTATTGCTGATCACTGTTGTTGTGCTATGATATTGTAATATTGACCATTATATAATCAGAGGGGTATAGAAAAGTTTATGAAAGTGTCACTCCATAATACAATAGCTAAATATATAAATATGTATAGTATTTTTATGTTACATTAATCAGTATTTAGCACACCTTCCTATGGAAAGGATATGGACCAGAAGAGATTGCAATTACTAAATGATATTTAGACCGACTTAAAAAAGAAGTTCCAGATCTATAATTGTGCTCTTACTATTTTAGTTATTTTGCCTTTAATGTAAATAAACATGTGCAAACAATATACTTGCTCTTGTGAATTTATTTGGATGTTAATTACATTGTGGGAGCTGTCTCTTTAATACAGAGTGGTTTATATACATGTTGCTGCTGATTGGGCTGACATGTTTGTCACACCCACCAAACAAGAGAAAACGCATCTCAAACACCGTTGCACACCGTTTCCAGGAAACATGTCGTTCAACCCGGAAACCGTAGCAAAACGGTGCACACCGGTTTGAGCTTGAACTTGCCCCAGAGTTGCGACACGCTTTGATCATATTTGCCAAGTCCGCGTATTATACGCGACTTTGGCTTCTTTTTTTTGTAAAGTTGCGTGAAAAAAATCCCAGGTCGCGGGTTGCGGTTTTTTTGGGCTTATTTTAAAAAATATGGTTGCTTGTTTGGGAAATCTGACAAGCAACTTCGTTTCTTTATTTATGTTCGCCGTATTCTCCAGTGCATTGAATGACACTCTGTCTGCTCGCAGTTAATAGCCAACCAGTGCAATAATAAAAGTGCTGCAACGTAATTTGCCAAATATTCCGCCCCCCCATTGCAGAAAATCACGTTCAAAAAGAAGGCGCGTGCCGTGACGCTGTAATCCAAAGCGATGACAGAAGTAGACGTAGAATGACTGGGTGGTGTGGGATGACTTTCTTTTAGCCTATTTTTTAATTTTTACAATGTTTTTGTAATGTATTAATTATCACGGGCTGTAATAAAAAACAAGTAGTCCTATACTAATACTAAGAGTAAATATGGTTCGAATAGCCTATATTTTAGTAGGCTATAAATATGAGGCTCTGTTACAGCTCCCCTTTGAAGCTCTTGTGTTTTTCTCCTTTTCCATCTCTCCAATCCTATTCTGCACACAGGTGATTGGAGATGAATTGTATTCCCATTTTTGTTGCAGTTTGCTGATTTTTGTAAAATAGCTTCTGTTTTTGCTTTTCAGATAAAAGAGTGGTTTCAGTTTAATATGTTGCAGGATCATTTATTGGTAATAAATACTTGATAATAAATATTATTGATGATAATAAATCATAAAATAAATTGGGCTTGTTTTGGGCTTATTTGAGCAGCTTTTTTTTTTTTTTTGCGAGAGCTTATCTGTCTTGCGAGAGTTGGCATCATTGGTTCATGGAGCTCTCAATAGTTCCAAACAACTTGCTGTCAATATGTTTGAATGGGTTTAAGTAGGATAGACAGCACTATATTTGCAGCAATTTCTGGTGATTATTAACACATCATGTGCATTGATTGTGTTTTGATAACCACGCTGACTACGTATTACAATCGCATTTTATTCTGGGGAGTGATGAAGAGACAGCATTCATTTTTTTTCTAATATGCTTATTATTTATATTACAATTAACGTAGTATTTAGGGTTAAAATAGAGAAAATGTTTTTTAATTCCAGTGCAAAGAGGCAAATTAGAGACATTTGGTGGCCAGAAAAATAATATTCCTATGTAATGCCATGGTAGATGCCCGTATGGCTGTTTAATAAATATAGACATATATAACATATATTAATCTACCTCTACTCTTTTTTCTTTTTTTTAATTGAAGATATAACATTCACAGGGGATACAGTCATAGCAATAAATTACACACACAACCAGAATACAAAACAAATATATAAAGAATAATAAAAATGAAATATAAAGAACAAAGACAAAAATGAATCTACCTCTACTCTAGTTGCTGTAAAAAGTTTTACCGGTCATAATAGCTTATTTATTTATATTTATTTATTTTATGTTTTGCATTGTATATTTAGACATGATCAAACACTCAATGTTTATAAGTTTTGCTTTTTGTAAATGTTGAATTTAAAAAGATGAATTACTCACATCCCAGTATTATTTTATGACATTTGTGTAAGAAGACAATATAAGTGAATGTTAAAAAGGCCAGCAAATACTGAATGTAACCCAATAAAAAAAAAAAACGTTAAAAAAAACAAGGCAACCAACTCCATTCAGGGAAACTCTTTCTTGTATTCCTTTAATGGGCAGTCTTCACTGAAACTCATTCAACTTCCTACAGGGAGAGAAAGATTGCAGAAAGACTAAAAACTTAAAAATATGACAACTAGCATCTAGTTATGATCGCTATTAAGGTGTTTCTCACGTTATCTAACAGCAAATATAGCATAATTGCCTATATCTAAAACTAAACATTAACTATAACGCGTTTCATAAAGTGCAACTACTGGCCAGATTTCTGAGAGGTAAACTAATGCGTTAAAATGCCAAAAACTGCTGTAATTTTCGAAACTTTCTGGCGAGTGTGCTTGAGAAGCACTGAAATGAATGGGCTTCAATACGGTTGTTTGGAACTATTGGCTGCTCCATGACATGCTTTACTTCTGCATTCCTCAGTACCCATGGAAGCCTATGGGAGTGTCGCAACTCTGTTCCTCAATGGCTCTGGGTTTGACTAGCTGCATCATGCATCATCTTTCATTGCTAAAGCTGGCTATGAAATTTATAGTTCATATTATGTTTAGAATTATTAAAAACCAAAGGTGAAAACTGGTAACTGGATAAATAGTAGTAACGAAGCCTATTGCCTAGAAAAAAGAAAACCAGTTGCTGAGTCTTTCACACGCATATGAACCTGCTACCTTATTAGTTGTTGTTGTTGTTATTTTTTACTGTGAATTAAATTTGAATCGTGAAAGATTCCAGAAGGATCGGTGGCCATCTGTGTCTGTATCAAGTAGGCTAATGAAATCTCTTTTATTAGAGAGGCTGTGAAATATTAGGTCAAATTGAGATGAAGATGAAACAGATAACAGTTAAAGGGTCAGGAAACCCCAGACTACTTTTTCTGAGATTTTAGCAGAGGTGTTTGTGTTGCACATCATAGAAGACAATGTTAGCATCCGAGAATTTTAACTGTTGGAGAAAACAGGTTAATTTGAAGCTTTTTTGACCTATTTTCATCTTCCGGGTTTAAAATCTACATCGTGTTGACGTCACAATTTGTGACGTGGCAATGGACTAATAGTACATCGATGACGCGTCGGTGTCTATTAAATTATTCATGAGACTGCGTGTTCTTATCCTATGAGAAGAGGCTTCGCTTAATTATTCACAACAGCATGTGTTGATTTGCTACACTCTTAAAAATAAAGGTGCTTCAAAAGGTTCTTCAAGCGATGCCACAGAAGAACCATTTTTGGTTCCACAAAGAACCATTCAGTCATAGGTTCTTTAAAGAACCATCTCTTTATTACGTTTTTATAATCTGAAGAACCTTCTTTCGCCCCAAAGAACCTTTTGTGAAACAGAAAGGTTCTTCAGATGTTAAAGGTTCTTTATGGAACCATTTAGACAAAAAGGTTCTTCTATGGCATCGTGAAGCACCTTTATTTTTAAGAGTGTATGACAGACGTTTCAGACTGTGAGATGACATCGCGCACATTAACTGAGAGAAAGGTTCATGGATTGAAGAAGAGTGTTTGTTTTTACAGCTCTGTGACACAACCCGTCAAAAGGCTTATATAAACGCCACAGAATAAGCCTTAAAAGTTCTCAGAGGTGCAACTGCGCGTTCATATACAGTATATGTTTTCGATGCAGAGTGCAAATGGCTGTGCATTTATTTGTGTTTTTAACTCGATGGGAGCGAAATGAAACTGCCTGAACACGAAGCTGTGTGTGTTGTCTTTCTCCCCTCTTCCCCTCCGCTCGAGAAGGGTCTGGCTGCAGCCTCGCACTTGCACTCTCAGACTTGCACTCTCAGACACTTGCGCTTCCACTAGCGACGCCACTTGCAGGCTTTATTTTTTATTTTGTTCTATTTTTTATTACTTTTTGTTTGAATCTCTCAACGTTTTACAACAGTAGCCAGGTGGCGAAGACAAGAAAAAAGAAAGTAAATTACGAAGTCACTTGCAATCGCCACTTGCACTCTCCGCTACCTGCGACGTCACTTGCAATCGACACAAATCGTGCGTGTTGCCAATGGAGACAAGACGCTGTGGTGGTGATTAAACGATTTAAACTAATTTAGTACCGTAACCTACAGGGTCCTGCAAGAAAAAGACAAGACCCGCAAATCCGTGGCCACAGAACTGCAGAATATGAATGCAATGCACAAAGTTTCTCGTTAAGCGTTTTCCTCCTGTAAAAAAACATAAACACTTAACATGGCTTAATGTATTAAGATGCTATTAAAATATCAAATTAAATATACAATTTATTAATATAATGAATATGTATATAGTATTTTCCTCCCATACCGCAAAACGTACGTGGCATAATGGACTAAAAAGGCCAAACTCAATATGCTCCTCTACATTATTAATATACATAACTAATATACAGGCAAGCAGGTGAGCCTAGAATAAATGCAACACGCACAGTTTCGCGTTAAGCGTTTTTCCATATAGAATAAA